TTAGTCAAAATCAGTTTAAAATGAGCCAGACATAGACCATTTGTCGGCCATTTTTGAAAACATTATGTCATCAATTGAAAATCACAGGTAATGGTGTTTATTTCATTTTATTTTCATGTTTCAGTTTAAAATTTCTATAATTAATAATTTTATGTTATTTTAGCGTAATTTTAAATATTAAAGTATCTTAACACTGTAACTCAAAATTATAATTTTTTCAACAAAACAAGAACATTTAGAAAAATGAATGATTGTTTTCAGAACGTATGCAGAACTATTGGTTGTCTTTTTGCAGAAGTTTTGTAAAATGTTGTTCTGTTTTAACGTAAAAAATCTATAGATTTAAAATATTTTACACAAAAATTTTGTTGTTAAGGTTTTTGAATAAAATATGTCAATTATGACGAATTTTAACACTGGTCACATGAAAATATGTCATAACCGTGAAAAAAGTGATTACGCGGAATTAGTGATGTTGAGTATAAAAATTATATATATTTTTCTAATTTACTTTTTTACACTATCCCAACACTGTGCTAGGTCTCTGTGCCTCTAACAATCTAACCCTAACCAAACCCTACTGTAGTAGTAATCTGTATTATCTGTGTGATTTTGTAGATAAACATAGATATTGAAGAAATAATAGATGTATTGGGTAAAATTTAAAAATAGGTGCAGTCTAGCCAAAAACCTGAAAACTTTTGGAACATGGCTGTATGCCTAATTTATAAAATCATGAAAGACAACCCAAACAACAAAATGTATGTGTATAAGAACTTACTTTTCGTCTAAAGAAAACACTGGTTTCGTCTTCACTAAGCTTGCTCCAGATTTGAGAGGAAAATACACTTGAACAGGTTGTGCGATCCATGTGTCTCATGGGCGCAGCCATTTTGAAATGTTTTTTTCCGGACGCATGGCGCATCAAGGTCTATTGTACTTCCCGGCAACAACTGATTTCTAACTAATTTCGTAAAATTTGGTGCAAGATGCCTTCTGTATCAACAGAAACGAAGCCAAGAATAAGCCACAGTTATGTCAGTGGCCAAGACAACATTTAGATATGGATTTATTCCATATGTTCTTTTTATTTAGGTGCGTAAATCTTAATTGTCATATCATTTTCGCGAGACACACTGCAAGTTTTAATCATGCCCTTGAATGTATAATAGGTGGTTTGTCAAAACAAATACTAAAGCAAGCTTTTAAAATTATTTATTCATTGAGTTATCCAGATGTCGAAATGAAAAAAAGTAAATGTACATGTAGATATCCATTCTAATATAAAAATAAAACCTTGTGCAAATTTATTTTTGAAAAAATTTACTAAATCATAGTAAATGTTTTCCATTTTATAAAATATCCATAATTTTACAAGTATTTCCTTAAATTAAGGAGTAGTATTAGTATAAGTTTATTTATGCTCTGTGCCAGAATTAACCATCTGTCAGAGATACATTTGCATCCATGCCGGTCCACTCTAGTACATGTAGTAGCCCAACAAATAGTGCTTAAGGGCTTTTTATTATATATACAATGGTCACCCTGTAAAGACAGACATCTATGTAACATAAGTTTGTAAAATAGGTCAGTCTTGCAGTCGAAATAATGAGATTACTCAAGTAGTCGCATCAGTGAAGCCTTTAACAGTGTTTTAATGCCTTCAATTGTAGCCTATTGACCTTTTCGAAAACCTAGCTAAACACCGTTTTCCGGTATATTACCGTTTTAGCTCTGGGGAATTACATCAAATGAAGTACATAACACAGTTACGTGATATTTCGATTTTTCTATCAGTATTTAACCGTTTAAGGTGAAAAAATTGATGTTTTTGAAAATTATCAATATTCCTTTAATATCTATTCCAAATTATTCAAAAAAATAAATTGTTTATAATGAAAATCAATAAAATTCAAACAGACGTAGTGGAATCTTCCATAATAAATACAGGGCCGGCAAAATCAATTGTCCGAGTTGCCCGAGTCGTAAAATTGTAGGTCCGGGCAAGTAAAATTCTGCAGTTTACTTGTCCGTGGACAAGTAAATTTCGGCGGCTAAAAGAGGAATTCTGAAGAAAAAAATCTAGTTCTTTTTCTAATAGATCTAAATCAGAAGGAAAATCACACATTTAATACGAAAACTAGCGTGTGAAGTCACAGGCGGCAGTATCAGTGTTTGGACACCCCACCCCTATCTGCCCCTGGACCCCTACTACAACCCTGAAAAAAAATTCAACACTCTAAGGCTTACTATAAGGTACCAAATACAAAACCACCGATGAAATTATATAAAAAAAATGTATTTGGTACCTTATAGTAAGCCTTAGAGTGTTGAATTTTTTTTCAGGGTTGTAGTAGGGGTCCAGGGGCAGATAGGGGTGGGGTGTCCAAACACTGATACTACCGCCTGTGTGTGAAGTGTGGTGTCATTCATGAGGGCATTCCGTGCATATTAGGGTGTTACTATTTTAAGTGTTTACATAAATAGCGACCAACCAGGCTTGGGGTTTTCCTTACGTCATGCGGTTACTGCATGGGCGCGGCAATTAACTAATTATTGAGGGTACACAGGGCTCTTGATTGACACGGGGATCCGGGTTTTGACTCGTGAAAATCAGGAAATGCACAAATTTGACACGTGATAAAATCTGCACAAGAGTCAATTTGCCACATGGGATTTTCAGCTATGCCAATAATAATTACCTTAAATCCACCCCTAATTACCTATTTAATCCTACATATGTTCAAATCACACTCAATAAAAATGTCAACAGGTAGTATAAGCCGTGTATAAATTGCTTTACACACGGCAATTGTTTATAGCCTGTGCACTGAAGCGTGACAATTCAGTGGCTGCAATTTGACAGCGCTAAAAATAGCTCAACAATTACACTTGAAATGTTTGTTTGCAGTAACCCGACCAAGAATTTTCAAGGTGGGTAGGTAGGTCGATTTTTTTTTTTATTGAACTGTACTCCCAAATAAACATGGAATTTCAAAATGCTGGAAAATATATGCTTTGATAATCTGGTAAAAATTAATAAATTGATAACTGAATTCTAAATTAATAAGACCTACATTTTATTTCTTCTATTAACCTTTAAAAGAACGAAAACGAAGCACAAGGCATAATTTTCTGATTCAAAAAAAAATTTTTTTATCCAGACCATGAAAAAAAATTTTGAGTAGGGGCAAATTTTGTGAGTCGGTCGCGTTACTGCAAACAAACATTTTTTTAGGGATGGCCTAACAATGATTCATGTAGTCAAATGACACTAGAAAAAAATGATTTGACTCATGAAATTTTGGTCAAAGAGTCTTTGACTTGTGAAATTCTGACCCTACTGAGAGCCCTGGACTACATGTTTGTTTTGGTTTATGTCTGCCGACTTAGCCTCTGCACGGTAGCAACGGGGTTCTGCCATAAATTGAATTGGAAGCTATGGTCTTTTCAAGCGCATTTATTGTTTAGATAGCAGACACAGCATCAATCCCACAACAATTGTCTTTGAAATACCGCTGTGTTATTTATGAAAATGTAGCTTTTCCAGGTCATTCGGGAATATTTACGCCCATATCGGCAATTTGACTGCTTCAATTTATGTAAACAAAGTCATTTTATAATTTATTTTATGTAAAGATTTCTTGTGAAAATGCCTTTGTTTTTGAATGTCTAATACTGGTGTTAATGTATACATGTCAGTTTCATCGTCGCCGATGGTAATGATGTCAAAATTTTCACAATTCATCTGCTGCAACCAAGCGTATATACGTATATGATATTACATTCTGTGGCAATCATAATTATATCGTTAAAAAAAGCCAGATGTCATCAATTTGACAAATCTAACTCAAGAGTACATATCATTTTTTAACAGGATTCAAATGAATATTATATAGATGAATAGAATAAGGAGTGAATAAATAAGAAATGGTACCAGAGTGCAAAAAAAATGAAGACAATATTTTAAAGCAATTTGGGTGCAAGGAAAACTGAAAAAGTGCTGGCAAAAGACCAATGCTCCTTCCAGTAAAATATACACAATTTGTCCATCACTGTCGTCCTACTTTAATCTACTGCCGTTAACATTTTATAAATATATTATATTATAATCATAATATATTATATTATAAAACATATGGCATAGAATGTTTAATAAAATTGAAAGAAAGTTCATAATCATATTGCTCTTCTTTATTGACATTTGCAGTAAATATTAAATATAAATACGGACAAGTGAACATTGAGTACGGACAAGTAAATTTCTTAGGTTACTTGTCCATGGACAAGTACAATTTTCTGAGATTTTGCCGGCCCTGAAATAAGGTTATTTTCTGCGTTAACTTGTGTATTTACTTTATTTTTTGTATGGAATTATTCATACAATGATATCTAATTATTTTCTTATAAAGAAATAATTACTTTATTTCAATTTGATTTTAAAAAAGGCCGAAAACATCGAGTTCGCTATTACATTCCATTGGGTGAATTCCCCAGAGCTATGTACAGAAAGTACCGGAAAACGGCGTTTAGCTAGGTTTTCGAATTCGTGAGTTATTCATTCATTGATGAAAGTAGTTAATAATAAATAGTATCCAGGGCATCAAGTTTCTTTACAAGAAAGTAATATGTTAATAAAAGAAATCTAAATTAAAAACATAATATATACATGTAAATTTTTTTCTGTAAACATGTCAGATACCTGAGAGAAAATAGTTATCTGTCTATTAATCTGTAATTGACTTGCAATAAATGTACATAAAGTCATAATATGTTTTGACATTCACATTGTCCTTGTTAATAACTTCTGTAATTTTGGTAATAATATGTGTTTGTATTCACGTTTTCTGTTTTTTTTTGTTTTTGTTTTTTTTTAAATAAAAATCCAGTTTTATTAATATTGTCCACTTGATATTAAATTTATATAAGTAATGAATGAAATTTTAAATTAAAAGAAAAAAGTTTAAAGGATTTATATCTACAAAAGTTTGAAGATGGGTTTGAAAAATTTGTATTATAACACGTGGTGAATCATTATTTAACTGTAGTGAATCGTTATTACTCTGTGGTGAATTGTAATATGACTCGTTGGTGAAATGTTACATTACTGTTTATAGACATGGTACATGTAGTTAGGCAATGGTAGACTATACGTTATTTATATTTTGTTCAAAATTGATTAATATACAGTTTAAGATATTTTTAAGATTTTTTTTTTAAACATGCAGTTGAATAATTTAATGTATGATAAACCACAGATTTAAGGCTATACACATTAGACATTCTTCTTTTTTTATATTGCTATATGTATAATGTATAATTGGTTTATAGATAATTAACATGTTAAGGCTTGCCCAAAGTACATATGTAAAATATACGAAGCTCATACTTTTAATACTCTGACCTACCCAAACTTTGGTAAGGTTTTGGAAAAGCGGAGAAAATTACCAAGGGTTTGTTTACCTTGTGGATACCTGCCATGTCAATGCAGTGTTTTTTTACCCTGAATAGTTCAAATAAGTTCTGATCGAGTTTTCTTCACAAGTTTAATATATGATAGATATTTTTAAAACTAAAAAGGAAAGAAAATAAGAATCCAAAAGTCTAAATGTAAAAAGAATCAAGTTAAAACCAGAAAAACTAAGTTGCTTTAATGATTAGCCTGCTGGAGCTAACTGATTCCACACATGTAAATTTCAGTCAGTGCAGACCAAGATTAGTCAACACATTGGTGCCAACTGTGCATGGTCTGCACTGTTTGCTATTTAGTCAGTATATATTTTCCCCAAAGATAATGAATGATTGTGTCCAGATTGAAACGTAGAGGAGTCCATTGAATTAAGATATATCTTGGTAAACAGTTAACACTTCTATTTCTTTTTATGATTACAGGATTCAAGAAAGGTGCTGATGAAGGGATGCCAGAGTTGTCTTTGTTAAGGTACAAGAAATTATATTTATATGCCATCCTTAACCCTGTCCTTGTTTGTGTAAGTGTTTGAGTATATTTGTGTGAGCATAAAATCTTACACTTTGTGTGTAGTCAGCATCATAGGGCTCTTAACTAGTAGTTTTCAAGTAGGTGTCCAGGATCTCCCAAACTGAAAAAAGTAGGAGTCCCATGAAATAGATGTAGAGTCCAAACTCTTCCAACCTAACTTTACCGTAGCATGATATACAATTAAGAAATACAAAGAAGATTATCCTCAAATAAATTACATGTAATACTGGTATACATGCTCATAGTTAATAAGAAATAAATATTAAGACCAAGGTCCCTAGCTGAAAGGTCAACCATCAAGGTCACAGCAAGTGTGTTGAACTAACCATCAAGGTCACAGCAAGTGTGTTGAACTAAGTGCTTTTGCCATAGAGTCTTTAAGTGTAGCTAGAGTTTGTGTATGGTTAATAACTTTTGTATGCACAAAAGGATTAAAAAAAAGTTCACTTGGTACATTTATGATATGTAATGTGTTGTTTGCCCTCTTAAGGTCACACAACATTTTATTGTGTATAATTTATACCAGCCAACTGGCTATCAATTAAGAATAACAGTATTTTACAAACAGACCACTCAACATTTTGATTTTTTAAGAATTATTTAGGAAACTATGTTTCACTGTTAAATATTTAAAGATACTTGTAGTTCAACCACTCTGATTCATTACAATGTTTACTAAGTACATCATGTAGATATTTTATTTTGTAACATGTGCAATGACCGAAATATTTAGTGGTATTTAATGTTAAGCCCATAGTTTGAATATTTCTTTTCTTATTTCAGTTTATTATGGCAATAGAGTATTTAAACTGTGAACAGAAGTGATCCAGAGTAAATGCCTTTAGAAGAGGATGACAACAACAAAAAAATTAATTTACAAGGTTCCACACAATCGATGCAATGAGACTTAATTTGACATTTTCAACATGTGGCAGTGAACTATTTTTGAAAATTTCTTTGTGAATTTGGATATAAAATGGATAAAACTTTCAGCTCCTATTAAGAAGTTATCAATGTCTCTCAGATGGTACATTTTCCAGATAATAATTGATAAACAGTTCAAAATGAAGAGACTGTAAAAATTATTAAAGATATTTAACAATTTTTTTAAGGGAGTTTTTGTGTCGCCTTGAAAAGGTGACATATAGGGGTTACTTTTGTCGGCGGCGTCCGTGTCGGCGGCGTCGTTGTCGTTGTCGGCGTCGGCGTCCCCTAAAGCTTGTCCGGAGCATAACTCAGTCACTAGAAGTCTGATTGACTTCAAACTTGGTATGCATGCTTTTTTCAATAACCCGAAGTGCAGTGCACAAGAACCGGTACTCTGCAGTTCTTATTTTTTGAGTTATTGCCCTTTGTTAATTTTCATACTTTAATTTTGTCCGTTCCATTTCTCTTCAACTAAAAAAACTATGGACTTGAAACTTCATAGGATGATTGATCTCATTAAGAAGAAGTGCAGTGCATAAGAACCGGTACTCTGCACTTCATAATTTTTGAGTTATTGCCCTTTGTTTATTTTCATACTTTAATTTTGTCCGGGCCATTTCTCCTTAAGTATAAAAGCTATGGACTTGAAACTTCATAGGATGATAGATCTCATTAAGAAGAAGTGCAGTGCACAAGATTCAGTACCCTGCATTTCTTAATTTTTGAGTTATGGCCCTTTGTTAATTTTCATACTTAATTTTTGTCCAGGCCATTTCTCCGAAAGTATAAAAGTTATGGACTTGAAACTTCATAGGATAATAGATCTCATTAAGAAAAAGTGCAGTGCAAAAGAACTGATACTCTGCATTTCTTATTTTTTGAGTTATTGCCCTTTGTTGATTTTCTTACATTACTTTTGTCCTGGTCATTTCTCCTTAAGTATGAAAGCTATGGACTTGAAACATCATAGAATGATAGATCTTATTGATAAGAAGTGCAGTGCACAGAAACAACTGCTCTGCACTTATTATTTTTTTAGCTATTGCTCTTTGTTATTTTTCATATTTCATTTTTGTCCTGGCCATTTCTCCTAAAATACATTGTTCACAAGGCGACACATCCGACTCGCGGAGTTCTAGTTTCTTTTTGTTTTTTAATGGCTGTATACTGTTTGAATGTTTGATAATTGTTTATTGTATGAATGCTGTTTTAAAATTTTGTAGTGAAAAAATTAATTAAAAAAAAAAGATGGTAAAAAATAATTTCTATTTTTCACCTTTTTGTGTCGCCTCTACGGAGTAGTGGCGACATATAGGGATCACTTCTCCGTCGTCTGTCTGTCCGTCTGTCTGTCTGTCCATCCGTCCGTCACAAAACTTGTCCGGACTACTCCTCATAAACTGCTGGTGCAATTTCATCCAAACTTTACAGGAATGATCAGTACCAAGTCTAGTTGTGCATCTTGTCAGCATTTTCCGGTTCAATGATTTTTGTCAGAGTTATGGCCCTTTGATAATTTTTCATTTAAAAGTTTGTCCGGACTACTTCTCTTATACCACTAATGCAATTTCAATGAAACTTTACAGGATTGATCTGTAGCTCAAGTCCTTGCGCATATTGCAAGGATTTTCCGGTTGAATGATTTTTGGCCGAGTTAGTATGGCCCTTTTGATAAAAAGGTTTCTTTTTTTCTGTGTGTTGCCAAAGATACACAAAAAGCTTGTCCGGACTACTCCTCATAAACTACAGGTGCAATTTCATCCAAACTTTACAGGAATGATCAGTACCAAGTCTAGTTGTGCATATTGTCAGCATTTCCCGGTTTCAATGATTTTTGTTTGAGTTTATGGCCCTTTAATAATTTTTATTTTTTAAAGTTTGTCCGGACTACTTCTCTTATACCACTAATGCAATTTCAATGAAACTTAACAGGATTGATCTGTAGCTCAAGTCCTTGCGCATATTGCACGGGTTTTCTGGTTGAATGATTTTTGGCTGAGTTATGGCCCTTTGATAAAAAGGTGTTTTTTTTCTGTGTGTTGCCAGATACGCAAAAGCTTGTCCGGACTACTCCTCATAAACTACTGGTGCAATTTTATCCAAACTTTACTGGAATGATCAGTACCAAGTCTAGTTGTGCACTGTCCGTCTGTCTGTCTGTCCGTCTGTCACAAAATTTGTCCCAACATGAAATTGGCCATCATGAGGCGACATGTGATTACTGATCGCTCTTGTTTTTCTTCTTCTTCATAATGGTAATCAAAAGAAACTGATATCTATTTTGGTTAGCACAAAAATAAGTCTACCATTTCATGCAAGCTGGTTTTGGCCAGGTGGTTAGTCACTTGAAACAATTATCACCTCAGGCATCATTTTTTGGGTGATCAACAGTAAATTTCTCAGATGTTTCAACTAATTTTACTGTGTGTTGAGATTATCAGATACACATGTATTGTGCTATTTTGTATAATAGAAGAAAGATTCTGACACAGCAAAAATATTTCAGAATCTAGCTTTGGCATGTGAAAATAATTATTTTGACTTGTTAATCAAATAATTATGGCCGAGTGGTAAGATTGACTGAACCACTTGCCCCTCACTGCTGTTAGTTCGAATCCCGACAGGGACTTTGGATTCATTCATAAAATGAAGCTTAGTCCATCTAGCTTACAGAACATCAGTGGTTCTACTTAGGTGCCCGCTTGTGCCTTAAATAATACAGGGAGTGGCACCCCAAGGTGTTCCTTTGAAAATATCTGTAACACCTTTATAAATTGATAGTGTTAATTTAGAGCATGTAAGATGTTGAATAACTGAAGAGAGTAGCGCTGAACACTCGGTTATGTGTTGTAAAAATAGTATTTTTTTGTTTGTTTCATTTTACGCCTTTTTCCAACAGTATTTCAGTCATATAGGCGGTAGTTTCCTAACCATCGTTCCTGGAGAGTTACACCAGTACTTGACTATCTTTCTCCATGCTAAACTACCAAAGCATCTCCCGGGGATCGAACCCACGCAAGAGAGGTAACTGGATTAGAAGTCATCCACTCTAACTCGGCCACGGAGGTGGTAAAATGTAAACAAAGAAGTATTATGACTTCCATACAAACTCACAATCATTATACCAGCTGCCAAAGTGCAAAGTAAGCAAAACGTAGTCCATCTTTGGCAAATAATTAACTTTTGAAAACGTTTGATGTTTTTATACCTTGATTGGTTATACGGCAACTTTTCATCTTTACTGCTATAGGAAGGTCTCGGAACACTCTTTAAAATAACCACCAGATATTTATATGTAACCAGATACCATATATGCCCATGACATATTGTTCAAAAGAAATATTGCCCATGTTCAAAAGAAATATCAGACATTGAATATAATACAAGCTATCATAAACATGTGGAATTTTTTTTTTTTCACTTCAATTTTCTCATTTGTTTCAGACTATAGTAATCAAGCAGTAAAACTAAGTTTTGTTTTTGTTCTGCAGATAATTGCATGGAGATAAACCTTTATGTTAGCTTGTTATTTTACTGATAGAAATGCAACTTTCTTGGGTAAATACTGGAAAAATGAAACACCAACAATTAAGTGTTTAATTCAACACTTTTTATTTTAACATGTGAAAAAATAAATTCAATAAAAATGAAATTATAGATAAATGAAACACAAACAATGAAATTTTTAATTCAACATTTTTATTTTAACATTAGAAAAAGAAGTGAAAAAAAAAATACAAAAAGGTATAACAAAAGTCAAATAAAGTCAAAAGTGAAAGTGAAAAATATATGAAAAATATATTAAATGACTTCACTAAAATCAAGATTGGTCGAAAATTGGGCCCAAATTGGGTAAAATTATTAAAACCCCTTAATTTTGGGGTTTTCTTTAAAAAAACCTTTTAAAAAGGGCAATTAAAAAGGGGGCCCACCAAAGCTAAAATTATTTTAGAATTTTTTATTGGTTGTCACCCGGCAGGGACCTTAATTTTTTTTTTTTTAAATTTAATTATGTTAATAATTCTTAATAAAATCGATTCTTTTGGGAAAATTTTAATTCTGGGGTTGGGGGGTTTGGGGTGAAAAATAATTTGGGGCCAAGGGGGGTTATTATTTTTATTTAAATTAAACAAAATGGAAACCATTAAATTAAAAGGGCGAGGGGGTTCCTTCCCCAAGGCTGGGGGCCCCCTTTTTAAATTTGGTTCCCTTTTGGTTTTCCAAGGGTTTAAAAATTCCCTTAATTTTCTAAGGGGGGGGCCATGGAAGCCCCCAAAAACTTTGTTTTCAAGTGACCTTGGAAGGGCGTTTGGGAAATTAAGGAAAGTAGGGCATTATTTTGCCCCCTTATAATTTAAACTTGAAAATTTTTTATGAAAATACAAAAATGTATACAAATGAAAAGCAGTCAAGCTATCAATACAAACACAAGTTTTTTCTAAATTCTGCAAATAACCATAGTAATGATAAACATCATAAATCTCATATCTGAAAATAAATAAACTTGTATTCTTTTCACATATTTCATATAACAATAACAATTCAGCTGTTAAATGATCAATATTCCTTTCGAAAATAAGGGGCCATTGAAGGCCACTATACAGCTCACCTGAGTATGATAATTGCTTTTTAATAAAATTTTACTAGATAATCCAAATTAGAACGAATAAGCTAGAAAACACTAAAATGATCTTTCTGACTTTCCAGGACATTTGGACTGAAAATGTTACCTTGTGTGTTAAAAGGTTTTTTTCATCTTTGGACCCAATACAAATCACAATCTTTCTGACAAATTTTCAGGATAATTTGGCTTGAAATAAGCCCTGTTCTGTTAACAAGGTTTTCCATATTTGGGCTTTGTGACCTAGTTTTTCATCCAAGATGACCCAATACAAATCACAATCTTTCTGACAATTTTTCAGGATAATTTGGCTTGAAATAAGCCCTCTTTTACATATAATCTTTAATGTAAAAAGAAACATGCGAATTTGAGTTGAAAGAAGCCGTTACTTACCATGGGGTGTCGATTCTAACCCGGTGGAAAATTCTCGCTCGGCTTCGAATAATGGTGCGCGCATTTTCACGAAAGAAGTACGGGGACGAAAAACCATGAAAAAAATTTCTGCTTTGTGCCGAGGAAAATTGTGGAGGAAAGGGGTTGTTTATAATGTACCTTTACACAAGAACATCATGAATTTCAGAGAAAAAAAGGGAAAAAAAACCTTCTTTTTGGCCCGCATTCCCGCCACTTGTTTGTTTGGGTAACGAACGGGCGTGATTTCCCTCCACGTGATCACCTGTTAAATATAACAGAAAATGTATAACCATCGAAATGAGCTTCTTTTTCTTTACAACAATAACCTGATATGATACCTGTGTACTCAATCAAATTGTAGGAGTGGGAGGGATGGGATGGAAAAATAGACATGCGAATAAAGCAATGCAATTACCTCGAGTGATTTGAAAACACCTTTCGATACTTTATATAGAAATCTGATACGGTTAGTTGATGCACGAAAATCTCGTGCAACACAATCTTAACACAATTGCTATATATTACAGCGTAACTTTATAGCCCTACCAAGAATAAATACATACATGAATGTAATATATAAATAGAGGATATTCAAGATTTTTCTATAATTACAGAGTTAACTTTCATCCAGTGGTATGAAAATAAATATTTCACGAGTGGTGGTAGTAACAAGTAAAAATATGGTAATTTTCATATCACAAGATGGAAATAAATCCTGTATTTATAGAAAAGAACTTGAATTTTCTGTTTATTTTATACCTTTTCTCTTTTTTACCTTACAATTCTTAAGACTGCTCGTATTGGCTGGATTAAGAAGAAAGTAGTCTGGCAAGATACCAGTGAAAATATGAAAAATATTTTTCACTGCAGTGAAAAAATTTCTACAGTACAGAAAAACGAAAACATGCGTTTTATTTCATCAATATTTCTCAATATTACATTCATAAGTATATAATAAAAAAGAATTATGAAATGGTTATATTGCATTGAAAACAAGCAGTATCACATACAACATAAGCATTGATATAAATTAAATTATCAAATCTTCTTAAAAATACTACCTTTGTGCAGCAGACACAATAACAGTATTATTCTATATTTTGTTCGCATATCTAACGCATGAGCTAGTGTGATAAGTAACATATTTTTTTTTGTTTGTTAATAAGAAAAAAATTTAGTAATAATGCTAAAAATCATCATGTAAGCAAGCTCAAAAATGCTTTTGAAAAACTTGAAGTTTTAATACCTTACAGATACATCTTCATTAGATATTTAAATTATCAAATAAGCATGTAAATAACTAAATTACGTAACAAACAATTTTCTATACACAGGTTACCCATCAAATGTCAACACAAGCATATTTAAAGTTCACAAAAGGATAGATTTCTAACGATTAAGCAGAGGAAAACTTGAAGCTTTAAGTTTTCAGCTAGCAATTATTTAAAATCTAAATACTATTGCCAACCAAATTATGGAAGTGTTTTATGTTTAACTTGGTGGTCAAACTGAAGTTAAAAAAGAAGTAATGCATGGTTACATATCAGTCAGACAAATTAACGGTTGAACACGAACTTAAACTACTTATGCTGAATTCATCAACATCACAGGGAACAAATGCAAGTCTTTGTGATAACTCACATTCACTAACAGAGCTGAAACCTTGAAAAAACACTGTCAGAGTCATTTTGTTCATCAAATAAGCTGACAATTCAAAAGACAGAAAGATGAAGAGATGCAGCCAAATGTCTAATAAATAAACATAATGATTTGATATCATTGTGAGTAGTCATGGTAGCTTTTCCATCAAATGACAGCATTCCACAGACATTTCGACTGTGAGAATCAAAACAGAAGAAAGAATGACCACTTTTAATGGTGGCACATGAATAGCAGAGATTTGTTATACCCATGGTAAAAATGCATCCGGTATAGTTTTGGTTTTCAGAATTATTTCTTACAGCATCTTCTAACTGAAAAACTAGATCTGAGGTGACCTTAGTTGACAAAAGGCTTTGCAGTGGCTCTTTGAAACTTGAACATCTTCAAAGCTATTTCCTCTTTGAATTTATAATTTTAATTTAAAAGCTTTAAATTTTCTTTGCTCTTCTCATTTGTGTTACTAAAGGAATTTACTTTAGATTTCAAATTGCAGTCTTTTCCATTAAAGCATAGAAATTTCTTTTCAACTTTAATTGACAATGTCATATGCATAATATGTTGTGCAAAATATAGAACATTTGGGTATTTTCTTGATACTTGTACAGAGAGATATTAATGTTATAACTGATTTTCATTTCATAGTTTTGTCTTCCTCACTGCGTCCAGTATTTAGAAAGTCGAGCTTCGCTGTCTCCTGCGACAGCTCTTGTTTTTAACTTACGAAACTTACAAAGCCTTTTGGAAATCTGCTTCATCACTTCGCGCCTAATTGTAGGGGTATATATGAGTATCTTATTGGTCACACAAATATAAAAGATTTTTGACATCACTTCCATAGCTGTCATAGAATATAGTCCTTTTACATGCCTCAATCGCCTTTTAACAATCAAAAAATGAAATATTCTGCCGATAGTTACATCTTTTTTTTAAAATGAGACATTGAGCCACTTTTTTTAAAGTTCAGACCAGATCCCCATTTTCAGAATGCTCACGTTACACTGCACACAATTTAAATATGCCCAATTAATGAGGAAGAAGGGAAAAAATGGAAATATCAACAACAACATCAACCTAAGTCGGTATAGCTCCACTTTTAAAAGATGCTTTATGTTACTGCAATCAAAGAAAAGTGTATACAGGTATTTTGCCAGACCGACATTATAAATATCGAAAGATAAAAATAATAATTATATTGCACTGATTGTGAGTACTCATAAACAGGGACAACATTCCTTCATTTTGCGCGACTCAGATATTTTATTTTCTTTAATTAGCAAATGGCTTTTTTGTACAATGAATGACACTGGAGTAAAAAGGCTTATTTTCTTAGGGCATTATTTGTGCGTACTTAATTAAATTACGGTGTTCCATTTGGACAATCGTGATTTTTTTTATTTCATCCTAACCCGCGATGTACGATGGTACGCGGTATGGTATGCCATCGCCATTTCACCATCGTACCGTCGCGCCATCGAGTTTTCACCATCTCATCGCGTTTTCACCATTGTGCCATCGCGTTTTCACAATCGAACTATCGCTCTTTCACTACCGTGCCATTGCGTTTTCACCACCGTACCATCACGATTTCACCATCGTACCATCGCGTTTTCTCCATCGTACCATCGCGTCATTGTGTTTTCATCATCGTGCCATCGCGTTTTCACCATCGCTCATCGCGTTTTCACCATCGTTCCATCGTGTTTTCACCATCGTACTATCGCGCCATCGCGCATCGCGGGTACAGACTAAATTAAAAGTCACAATTGTCCGAACGGAACACCGTATTAAATGGTTTTAATAGTTCGAGATTCTTTTAAGTTTAGAGACCACAGACGATTTTGTCGATGAAAACTACAAACGACTTTAGCGGGGTTTTTTTATTGTTGTTTTTTGTCATGTTGTGTAATTGTTCAGCTTATAAGAACAGTATTTACTTGCTTTTTAGTGCATTATTAATATGAATTTATTGCCGAATCATTTTGAGTAGTATGTAGTCATTTCCTATTTTTTAACAATATTAATTCATTTTTTCCCGCTTGATAAAATCACTGTTTTTCGTTCGGATACGCATTATTATTAGATGTTTGCTTAATATGCATGGTGTTACTATTAGTTCTAAAAGAGTTCTAAAATTAAGTGATATAAAACTAATTTCTTTCAGTCAAAATACCTATTTATCTATAAAAAGATGATGGCCTATATAGCTGAATTGCCTAAATGAAGGCAAAATATGTTTTGCTCTGGGCTTCGAACTCATTCTTTACAGAAAATATGAAAACACTTTCTGAAATCATTTAATAGTACTCTAAAATTCATTTTTTTATTAAATGTTCTTAAATATTCTTAACGGGACCTCTGAATTTTACTGTTGTTTTGTCAGCTGTTATCGCAGTAGTATCAGAAGCATGCAGCAACAAGTACAACAGCAACAACACGAAGATCTATACGCAAATTTAATATGACGTTGATTTTACAGATTATGTTACGTGGAGGTAAATATTTTATAGATAATAAAGGGGGTCATTATTTTGTATATAAGGGGGTCACTAGTTTATAGAAGGGGGTCACTACTTTATATAAAATAATGACTGTGGGGGTAATTATTCTATGGAGGTCACTTTACAACGTTACACCGGCATAGATCTCATCCGCAGACGACAAAAAATAAATGAAATATCACTACGAAAGAAATTAAAGAATACGTGCAGCCAACACGATTTTCATTGTACAACGAAACTCTATGGAAGGGATATTTAATTAATAGTTTCATAGAAAAAAACTCAGAGTATATCATATTTTATATTATTTTTTGTTATATTTCCTACCTAAAACAGCGACTTTTCTTTGATTTTCTTAGCTGTAAAAATCTTTTTTTAGGGAATATGTCAAAATAGGAAGTGACACATGAATCAGCGAACAGAGCAGACCATATTACACTAATATGCAGGCTGATTATGGCCTGTACTCGTCGCATTAGTTCCACCAGCTTAACCGCTACTTAGATTCAAGAAAGATAACCATAACTTATTGAAGCGAATTTCTTAGCAGTATGTTATCTCCCTTTAACACACCGTTTTATCGTAATGTTTACATAAAGGTAAAAATATTGACAGGCACGTTTTATACGATAATAACCGAGTAGTTACGGTAGTCGTATTTCAAAATGGCGACATGTCAATGCAATACAAAACACGTTTTGAAATAGGTTAATTACTAACAATTTTGAAACAAGTCTGGTGCGAACAAACCATCCAGCGAGGTAACAGAGGTAACGGCCACTGGAGTTTACCGGACAACTGAGTACCGTGTGTTACCTGATACAGTTTAAACCAGGTATGATTATGTTTTATTATGATTCACTCTCATATGTTTGGTTATACATATTTATCTACATTACGGAAGTCGATATAAAAAAACCCTATCAAATTGGTATGCAATGATTGAATGCATGTAGCCAGACAGTTAAGGTTAAGGGGATTTTCCATCTGTCTAAGGTTAAATTTGTCTGTGTCCTTTAAAGAGGAAGATAAAAAATGGAAATTACATTATGTCAGGAAGAAAGAATAAGTAAGCATACATATATTTATGTTTTCCTAAATGAATTATATCTGAGACCAAAAATAACAGTTTTGGTCCCAGATATAGTACATATAAATGATGATAATGATGATGATGATGATCATGATGATCCATGTGAATTATACTACACATTAAAATATATGATGATGATGATGTTGGTGATGATGATGATGATGATGATGGTAATGATGATGATGATGATGATGATGCTATTATTATTTAGGGTCATTGTCATGCCAGGTTATGTAATTTAATACGAGTGTCGGTTAAGCTAGATCTAGGTTTAAGATTGTCGAAACTGAAAGACAAAGAGAGCTAGCTACTTAATTCTACTATTCCTAGTCTATCCCGCTTTAAACATTGAAACAAACAAATGCCTTTCTTTTACTTCTTTTAAAGATAAAAAAAAATAGTTGAAAAATCTATACACATGTATATATATTTGTATATGCCACATAATTTTATCATTTTATAAGGAATATCACTTGAATAAAATCGCATGAAATTTAAATTCATTGCAAATCGTGATTTTAATGTTTAATGAAACAAACTTCAACCTATTTGTTTAAACTTAATGCAGGCACACACCTTTGTGTGTTTAATCTGTTAAAATGAATTTTAGAGTAAATGTGTCTTAACCTCAAATATTTAAGTCTACTTCCGTTGATTTTTTTAATCAACCACAGACACACATTCGAATATGCCACATATATAGGCTACATGTATATATTTATAATCCTTATTCTCAGTGACATGTCCGTGGTCCGTACACTCAGTGCCTGAAAGGCCGGATGGACACTCATTTAACCTAAAATACATAAACATAAAGTGATTATTTAGTCCATCCAAGGGTATATGGTGAGTGAACAGGTGACATTTAAAATAAGTATAATTCCTTTCAATTTTATACTTTACTTCGCATGAACAATTATAAGTAATATAACTCAAGGACATAGCTGAAGACAGATTCTATTAATCATACCTGTAACGTTCAATGTATAAAAAATGGAGCAGTCTTTATATTTTAGGCAGAATTTTTTTTCTTTTATCTCTAAACAGTCAATTTTTTAAAATATATATTCAAGTCCGCGAAAAAAAATGAGCATAGTATCACTTTAACTGGGATCGGGAGTGACTTTTGCCATTAGTATGGAGTCGGGTCAACCTACATGTACACCCCCGTGCTGTCCGACCAGGTTCAATACTGTTGGTACCTCGGATTTTGTATTTTGATATTTGAACTACCTTAACCTTAAAAAATAACTTTCGGCCTCAAAAGAGAGCAAAATTCATGCGACAATATTGAGCAAGTCAAAGATAACTTACATGCATCAAGCGGTGTTAATAATATACATGTATATACAAATGCACATGCATTTTATTATTCTTCATGAAATTAGACGTCACATAGGCATTTATAAAGAACCCGGTAGTTAAAGATTATATTATAAAACTAATCTGCATGTGTATAAAATAAATCAACATAGTTATTATATTGCTATACAATTAAAAAAAACACATTCATCAAGTTCAAGTACATATAAAACACAATCTGTCGGTATAATTTTAGGTAAAAATCGTGACAAGGATTTCAGAATGAATTGTGTAAAAGTTTTCTTTCTTATCTATAGATCTTTATGATTATCTATAGATCTTTATGTATAACTAGGGACTTAAAGAAATATAATGTCGTAATAAAACACATACATGTACTACAATACATGTATGGATATATGAACATTAAATATATATAACTTTAACACTGAGACATTAACAACCATTGATAAAAACAGATTATGTCTAGGATATGTAAACAGTTTTGAGAATTTTATTGGGTGTCTTAATGGCGATACTACAGGCCTCGGTCATCATATTAACATGTCAGTCTATCAGTACTTCATTCATTCATCTGTTCTATTAAAGGTACATTATACCTCTAAAAATCATATTTTTTAATACTTTAGAAATGTTAAACATGTATTTAATTAATAATGATTAAATTATGGATTAAGAGCATATGTTAGATGTTTTACAACTGAAAAAGTAGCGCTGAACATGCAGTTATGTGTTGTAAAGGTAGCAAATAGTAAACAAAGTAGTATTTTGACTTCCATACAAAATACTAATTCACTATAATTATACAAATTTTTAGCAGAACATAGATTATGTATAGATATTGAGTATGTTTTTGGAGACTAACAAGATACCAAAAATAAACAACTATTTTTTGAGAAATAAAAATGATTTTTTGAGACATTATGGGCCTTTAAGTAACAGATTTGAACATTTTGTTATTTTTAACAATTTAGATAAACAAATTTGCGTCAGGGTTAATTCATTAGTCAAATTAAAACGAGTAAGTTTAAAGTTAAAATGGAAACATAATATCATTCATTATTGTTTAAAATCAATAGCCAGACCATAATTATTATCCTCAGTTAGGCCATGCTTATCATGCCGTACAGTATAAAAAATACTGGTAGTATATAACAAACTTTTGTAAAACTCAGGACATACCAAAGAATGAAGAATTTTAGAATATTTACATACACATTTATATTTTGAGTACTTATAATTCAAATAGTATCTTTTCTCTGTGTAGCACTTGGGACCAAAAAATTTTTGGTCCCAGGTAGAACGTTGGCAAGAGAGTTCTAGTTAAAGATAGATAGAAACTTTAAGGGGAAATAATACCCAATAACGTTACTTTTTAAAGGCTAATAAGACCTAAAAATTTAATTTCTATCTTTTCATTTTTTAAAACCTATTTATTTTAAGTGATCTAAAACGAAAGTTTTGACCATAATAGAGCTAATATTTTGCTTATCTTGTCTTTTGGCAATTATTACAGGTATAGGAACTTAATATTTTGTATGGAATTCCACTTTGTTCACATTTTGCTACATTTATGACAAATTATTTCACATATAAAAAGTGTAGTTTTATCTGAGGCTTAGTGTGCCTTTAAAGCATTATAGACTGTAACCAATATCAAGTCGAAGACAAACTTTATTTTAAGTATGGTTCTTTTTGTTACACAGAACAGAATTTTCACTATAGTCGGACATTTTAGATTTTTTCCTCCGTTACATGGTAATACGAAACTCGTGTAGATAAAGAAAACAAACTTCAATTTTTACTTCAACCCTCTCATGAGGTAATTTTATATGGAAAGTGAAAAGTATTATTTTGTACATTTCAGAACGACGTACTACCATTTCACTGGAGATTTACAACAACATTAGATCATCGCAAATATAACTGGGAGATTTCAAGGTGACTAAAAAGTCAGGGGAAAATCGTACATGAAACTGTCTCGTAATTTGAGAGCTGAAAATAAAATCCAGTATTTGCTCATCCATGTAAACCGCACTAACCGCAGTTTTTATCAGATAAACAAAGGACAACCATGTTCGGTGCAAGTACACTGCCGTATATATGATTCATATTATCCGCCCTAGAAGCGGTGAAGTACCCAAGCATGAACCAAACTGACTTTAAATTAAAGTGAAAATCTTATCGATACTGTTACGTAATATTCAATCTATCAACTGAAGAAGACCGGACGTTGTAAACTTAGACGGTATAAACATTTAGTTCAGCTGCATACCTATTGAAAAGAAAATAAACAAAACAGTGGGTGATAAAAGCTTATAACCAAGTTAACTGTATTGCTAATATACATGAATAAAGTTCAAATTTCAGAGCATTTCGAATCAAATGACACGGCTATATAAACACGATTTAAGTTTGGTGTTACTTAACACACGACATGGTGATACAATTAGCAAATATTTAGTATAACTGATTTAAATTAAAAAAAGATTTTGTTTAATTATTATAGTCAAACTGAAATTGTAACGACTTAAAAAAAGTTTGGGAAGAGATTCAGGAAAGAGATTGTGTATGCTATAAATGGAAATGTCTTCTACAAACCCTATAATTCCACCACGACCATCCTCACAAAATCTAACAACAACAACAACAAATATGATTTCACAAAGACGTATTTCTCAAAGCAGAACTCCGCCACCACGTATATCTACGCAAAATACAATGCATTCATCACGTCGTTCCGCACAGAGTACAACACCCCCGCCACGAACTTCCACGCACAACGCTTCCACATCGATGGAAAGCAGTCCAACGTCTTTAGCTTCACCTCCGCCAATTCCAGCAAGATGGGACATGTGTGCCTGTCACAACGGTCAAAAATTTACAGCAGTATGTTTAACATGTGTAAAGTTCCTTTGCAACAAATGTTTGTTTTCGGAAATTTATTTTCATAACCAATGTTCAGTAATTTATCTCAGTGACAATGTAAATAAAGGATGTCGGGTCTTGAAACAATCCGTCTGTGAGAAAGTAGAAAAAGCAAGCAATACCCTGAACAGATTCCAAACAAGTCTTTGCAAGAAGAGAGACCGGATGCTGAAAAAGAGAAACCAAACTATAAGTGAAATTAAACAATATTATGATAGACTTCGAGAAGCGATTCTATTAAAGCTGCAGACAGACGAAGAAGAATTGTTAGATATGATGAAAAGACAAGTTGATGATCAAGACGCAGTAATCCTTGAAAAAATACAGCAATGTTGCGCTACAAATAGTTCTCTTCAAGACAAAATCGCCGTGATTCAAAACTTCGGTAACAGGGACAGAAACGGAATCGAATACGTTAAAGAACTTGTTAATGCGTATGATTATTTAAAACAATGTGACCAGTTAGAAAAGGAAGCATTAGCCGTTAGAGATGCATTTCTTGTCATTAGATTTTTCGTCAATTCTGAAACAGAACAGACTATATTAAATAGCAACGTGGCTTCGGTGGAAGTGTTGAATTCTCAATCAGACCCTAGAGACAGAGGGACACTAGAAAGCGAGAGAATAAACGAAGTTGCTAATCTTCAAGCCATTTCTAATGAATCAGTCAGTACTTCTGATGATGATGATGGTGTAGATAATATGCAAACAACTGGCGAACTGAGAGTTGCGCTTCCACCCTTAAATGAACACACACCGAGTAACAACGAGGAACTTTTGAGTAACAACGAGGAACTTTCTTGTAACACAGAACACATAGATATAATGCAGCCGCGACCTATTGAATATTCTGAAAGAGATAATAATATAAACAATCAAAATTCATCTGCTGACATCATCACCGAACTGATTAATGAATTTGATACAAGATTAGAAACTACTGCGGAAGGAAGAATAAGTGAACTTTCAAATGAGATGATCCTAACAAATATTCGGACTGACATTTCTCCTGTACAAGAGAGAAGTGATTCTGTAATGGGCAATACAGATCTTGACGCCACATCTAGAAATACGGATATAGATGTTGAAAATGTTCAGAGTGAAGTCACTGCATCGATAGATGCAGAAGGCGATAATGCCTCCACAAGTAACGAACCAACATCGCAAGCACAACAAAACCTTGTTCCGAATGATGATGATCCCCCGCCTCCTTATCCAGGATTAACGTCTTCTCCAGTTCCAATCGGACCCGACGAACTTCCACCACCTTATCCAGGTACAGGCCCACCTCCACCGTATTCGCAAATGCCTGAATCTCAACAACCATCTGGTCGTAGCAGACTAAATGGTGAATCTGGACGAGACAGTAGAGTACAGTCGAGACATTTAAGCGATTCGGACTTACAAACTAGACAGTTTGAAATAACTGCACCAACCCAGACAAGTACTCCCAGATTGTCTCGCCCAAAAGTCTCCAAGGTTTTCTCAGTCAATGAGGCCAATGATAGAAGAGTTACAGGAATATTTGCATTGATGTCGGTTCGAACAGACGCATTCTTAATCGTAGATAGATGGAATAAGAAACTGAAATATTTCGGTGCCAACGGAGAGTCGTTTGGTGGGTTGATATTTCGGGAAGAACCGTGGGATATTACAAGGATGAGTGATGAAATAGTGGCTGTTACAGTACCAAAACTGAACACATTTTATAAGATTAAAGTAACCAGTAACAGTGTAATAACAACTAGTACGATGTCAACGTTGCGTTCTTATGCCTGTATAGCGTTTAATAATGTCACTCAATTATTCGTTTGTGGTCAGGTTCCACAATTTGGGGAACCGGTCGTGGACATAGTGGGAATAAATGGCGGGCAAATTATTCAAAGTTTCAGGTCAGGTTTTAACAATGAACTTCGGTTTTCTTACCCGCGTTATATAGAAATTACCGAAGAAGGCACAGCGATTGTCTGTGACTGGAACCTGAAGTGCTTGATTGTGTTTAAACTTGATGGAACTGTTATTGGGAAGTACAGGGGTACCGTAGAGTTTCCATTAAACGAGCCCACTGGAATTTCATACAATACATCATCAAAAGAAATATATGTCATCGATGCCAAACACAGTAGTACCCATGGTGCTATCCACATTGTGAACTTGAATTGCAGATGTAGAGAAATAGTAAGATGGGACAACGAGTTCCGGGTTGCGCGCGCAATTGCACCTCATTCCAATGGTTATGCTCTTGGAAACAAAAGCGGTGTTTTAAGTATCTTTGCATCACGCCAAAGGAGGTAATTCAGAAGAAAAACTAATTAATCAGTGTTTAATTAAATTTCATTCCAGGAGAAAACCATTTAGTTAACCATTATACAAGTATAAGATCAGATTTGCAAACTGAGTGACTATTGTTGTATACATTTCCAGAGGTATTCAAGAGTACATGTTTATATATTTAAGCAGCAAGAAAAGTTGCTAGTTGGATTGCATATAATTCTCATTTTTTATATACATGTAGACTTACAAATTTTGTGACATATCTATTAATATACAAATTATCTCTGAAAGCAACTGTGATTTGACTTAATATTATTATGTTATTGTTATATAATAAAGCTATATCTATGCCTATACGATACAGTTTTTATTATCAAAACATTGTTTTCTAAAACAAAATTTTTGCACACTCGTGTATTCTTTAATACTTAACTTGCTGAATTTCTTGAATGAACTTGTCAAGCTTCCAGTTTTGGAACTTCCGTGATCACTCTCGGTGATGTCATAATGAAACTTTAAAGTTAGTCAGCCAACATTTCTTAGCGCAGTCGGAATGCAAGAATGTTATGCCTAACTTTTGGGTAGCACCGAGATAGTGAAGTGGTCAAAGTGTCTGCCTCTCAATCCGGGGATCGTAGGTTAGAGTCCTGCTTAGGTTTCCCAATCGTGCACCAGTAGTTACATAGTTAGTTCGAGCAAACGAACTTTAAGTGATTCATCGTAAGATTATAGTTTGCACCGAAAGCGAGCTAAAATAAACACTTGTGTAGTACAGTTACCTTATAGCGAGCACGGTTATACCGAAATTCCGGTTAAATGGAACAATTATTTCTAACCTAAATTTTCTAAGCTAAAACAAATATATCTTATAATCTAACACTTGTGTAAGAGTCGCTGCTTCGTATTCAGTTTTGATTATAATTAACCTGTTATTTGTGTACTCTGGCAGCGAAAATTGAGTGTTTCTTAAATACATTTGAGCCGCGTCACGACAAAACCAACATAATGGGTTTGCGACCAGCATGAATCCAGACCAACCTGCGCATCCGCGCAGTCTGATCAGGATCCATGCTGTTCGCTATCAGTTTCTCTACTTGCTATAGGGTTTAAAAGCGAACAGCATGGATCCTGATCAGACTGCGCAGATGCGCAGGCTGGTCTGGATCCATGCTGGTCGCAAACCCATTATGTTGGTTTTGTCGTGACGCGGCTCATTTCATTTGTCCCCGAACTGTCGAGTTAATGTAGTTTGTGGCACCATTAGGTAGCTCTGCCATTTCGAAGGTCAAGCTTTTCTCCGTGAGTTTGGATGAGGGTCCAAATTACTTTTTAAAGAACTGTCTAGAACAAGCATTTAAATATACCAAATGTCTTAAAATCACAGATACAATAATATAAGGGCGACAATCCAGTTTTTTATGAAGTCTCTTATCAACATGGTTATCTCCCATACAAAATAACCAGCAATAGAAAAGGGACTTTTTTTCGTTTTTTTTTATGCTGCAAACAAACGTTTTCAAACCCCAAGCTCAAACAATAATATAATTATATGGACATGTAGAATTATTACAAAAGTACCGAAAACAACACAAAAGATTTGATTTAAAATATAACGCAACACTCATTATTCATGCTTTTATTCAATAGAATGTAGCTGCTTCTATTCATATACATTTACATTGTACTTTCACTGAGCAAATAAATTTGACTTGAAGTAAATGTCGTCTGCTTCAAGAAATAGCTTTATTTAAAACTGAGTTTAAATCACCACTTGTCGAACAAATGATCTAACTTTTCTAAATTATATTTAAGCTGAAAATAATGTGAATATTTTCTCCAGCAACTGTAGTTCTAGGTCTATTAAAACAACAACAAAAAAACATCAAACAAACAAATAAACAAACAAACAAACTAACTAACAACAAAAACAACAGCAGCAAAACAGTGTAACAAATAACTATCCAGCGAATAATACACAATTTTATATCAAGCACAGTTATCCCTGATGCTGGCAAGATGTGTCGTTAATATCATCCGTTTCTTACAACAATAACTAGGAAATGATAGCAGTATTTTGTAAATTTACACTTTCTTCCCGATGAACTACAATATTCAGGTGTATGGGTGGTCATTGCCCTTAGCGAAATATAATGGTGTTTGACATGGTGAGCTGGGACGTCCCAGTATTCCCCATCAGTCCTCATCCTAGTTTCCTGTTGAAAACTGCTCAGATAAATCTATCCGATAACATCCGTTTGTCAAAGTATCCAAAGAACTTGAACATCTAGGTATGTTTGTTATACCGTGATAGATTTACTATATTCTTAAATAACTTTCATAAAGTTGTAAAACACTATGATGAGTTGGTGAAAAGTTTCCACTTGAATATATGCAAACTCTTTGTTGCTTTCCCTTTTGATAAAAAATAAACTGTATTATATGCATAAGTGCATCACTGTTTTATAACCTTTATGAAATAAAGTCATACAAAGATGGCATCTTTTTAGCACAATACGTCACAAAGTATTCCATTACTGTGGACATAACATCAATCTGACCAAAGTTCAGCTCTCCTTAAATTATCCTTGCAAATAGCGTTAATTAGGAGCTGGTTTTTATCAGATTTGACATATCATTTATGTCATATGAATGTAAGTTTTCTATAACTGTGGACGTCTACTATTTATGTAATGTCACTAAATAATATCAGTTATTACTTGCCTTAACCTTTATCTTGCGAAGAATTTTGATAAAATCAATGTGTGAGTATGAACTAGATGATATTGACGATGATGATGTTGACACGGACGATGACGATGGCGATGATGATGATGTATTTATACTGGATGAAGATGATGAAGTTGATGATAATAGTGTTGGGCTTGATATAAGTGTCGATAGAAATGATGATGAGCTTGTCAGGAATATTGATGACGATGAAGATGATGATGACGATGATGATGATGAAGGTGTTGATGATGATGAAGAAGAAGAAGAAGATGGTGTTAAAATGCTTGATGAAGTAGATGCTGATGATGGTGATGAAGAAGATGTTTCAACGGAGCTAGATGATGATGAGGTTGATGATGAAAGTGATGACGTTGAAGTTGATGACGACGAAAATAATAATGTGCTGAATGTAGATGATGATGACGATGATGAAGATGTTGATGATGACGATGTCAATGAGAATGTACTTGATAATGATGGTACAGATATTGATGACGTGGTCGAAGAAGATTCAGTGAATCCTGTCGGTTTTGTGACATTTTCAATTGTCTGTAAAAACTCAGTAGTCATATTCAAATTAGCTGTGGTGACCTTATTCTCTTTTTCGACGTCATCGGATTGTCCGGTTGTTGATGTGTGGTTGGGCTGACTAGATGAAGTGACGTCAGAAATTACATCGGATGGAGTTGTCGTGACTGTTGTATTTGTAGACGATTTTTGTTTTTTATTTTTTACTTCAGTTTTAATTAAATTGGATTTTTCTTTCGTTTCTGTCATATCATCAGCCTTTTCTGTATCAGTTTTACCATTAATAGGTGGTTTTGGAGTATTCTTTTTCTGATTCAAACGAGCATTTATTATTTTTTGTAAAATTTTGTTCGTTTTATTGTCGATTTTCCCCTGTAAACCGTACCGATGCTCATTTATCTTTTTCAGATGATCTGGACCCAAATTAAGCACTAATTTTTGCCAGTCGTGTATACTAAGTTCTATCTGAGAATCATCTTTTGGTCGTTTTACGTTCTTTTGCAAACCTTTTACTGGGAAACCTGTAACAAAACATCAAATGTGTCAACAAGTCTAACAAAATTAACAACCACTCTGATGTTTTAATCATATCATATTTTATAACTGTATATTGTAAAACAATTGTTGATCAAGCAACAATCAAGCGATTAGGTAAATTAGATTTTTTTGCGTCATTTATTGCGTAAATGATGGGTGAGCTATCTCTACTAATAAATTTTCAAATCCGATCAATGGCATCATCTTGGCCCTTCAAACTTCGGATTGATAATAGCCGAAATGGTCCGATTGAAATCCGAAATGACATTTCATAAAAACCCATGCAACTAAAATAATTCATGTTATTAAAAGAACAAACCATAAATATGCGGAAAATTCAGTGTCAACAAACAAACATTTGTCAGTAGTCTTTGCAGCTTCATCTGAAAAAAGAACATATCACCATAATTACTGAAACTCACTTCTTTGTTTTTACTAAATACAAATCATTAAATACCAGTGCTTTCTAGCCAGAATTAATCAGATTTAAAACAGGATTTTTAACTTTCTATATTCTCATGACTTACAATATTTTAGCTTATTTTAATCTTTATCTTTCTACGTTCTTATATTTTATCTTGACTGGTTTTACACAGTTTTTTTCTATGTGGCGTGCATGAAAAGCACGACAGACGGTGTCAAATGGTGTTTTCAACATATTGTTGTTTTTCAATGTTTTGATTCATTTGCATGCAACAAATCAACAAACATACTGTATTTGTTAGTTTGGTGTTAATATGTGTAAAAATAACCAAGAAGAACAATGCAGGTGTCAAATAAATACTCGTATGCAACATTTTGAGCCGCCCGGTTAGCTCAATAGGTAGTGTAGCAACGCTATATGTCGCAACGCCGCTATATGTCGCAACTAACGCTAAATGTCGCAACGTTGACGCTATATGTCGCAATCAACGCTATATGTCGCAATCGCCTACCGCTAAATGTCGCAACGTTGCCGCTTTATGTCGCACAAAAATCGATTGCCGCTAAATGTCGCAACCCCTTGACGCTAAATGTCGCACTTGGTGGAAAAGTCAAATCAGATCAGGCACATTGACCGATTGGTTTCCATTTATATTTGTAACAAAACTACCTTTCACAAATACATATATCGCATTAACAGAGGTTATATCGGTAACAAAATGAAATTAAATATAAGCCGCGTGAATTCATATTATTACTGCGTGATGTGTCTTATTACTATTTAATACCAAACATCAAAATAGTTGGTAGCGGGACACTTGAAGGTCAAAGGTTAAATTCGTGTCCGCTCCATAACGTTTTAATTTATTATGCTAATTTGATCAAACTTCACACAAATGTTCACCGGCATTAGATATTGTGTCCCATGCAGCATCAAGGTCCCTACCGCGTCAAGGTCAAGGTCACACTTGAAGGTCAAATTCTTGTCCGCTCCATAACGTTATCATTTATTATGCAAATTTGAACAAATTTCAAACAACTTGTATGTAACCCAGGCATTCCGTTGAAGCATTGTCCTTAGCACCACAAACAGTTTTCTGACCAATGAAAAGCACACACGTCACAATAACATCAACTAGGTATAACAGAACCGTGATACTTTAATATAATATATATAACTATACAAGCGTAAAATGGCTGCGAAACAATTGTTTGATGGAAAGGCATGAAAAACTGTTATTTAAAAGGCAGCTGTTGAGTTTTACCAAATTGCTTAACAGCATGTAAAAAACAAAAAAAAAATGTATTACTATGTTACACCACGAAGTTATAAATTACAATCTGATCTTAACATTTTACTGGGTTAAAGGGGAATCGTTACTAAAGTATAATTATAATAGTAAAATATTTCCTTATCACACGGTTTATTTGATTGCAAAAACTTTAATGCGTTAAATATAAAAAATATACATTTCTTCATAACGAACTTATTTTCTAGTTTTAAGGCAAAAAGGTAAGATGGATAGTTTCAGATATACATTTTGTATTATGAGAATGTAACACAGTTTGCGTGTTTGTCCAATACATAACAGTGTCCCTTTAGATCCAGACAGGTCAGGTAACAAGATTCTATGCGTCATCATTTCCTGAGCTTTATAGTCTAGTACCATGATATTTAGTCTCGATTACCTACCCCCTATACATGAAAATCTGAAATCGTCCATTCCATTGGATGTTTACGGACATGAGAAAATACTTTCTTTTCATTTGACAAAAATGAAAAATAAAAATGTTTTGCAACAATGCTAGAAATTTAAAATGTGCCCCAAAGTGTTAAAATTATGTACGAGACATTTTTTTTATTTACTTGTGATTTTATTGGGAACTCGTAAAATAAATCGTGTAGTGCCGCAGTAAATCATGTGTGTTATATAAAATCATACAAGACTTGGATGCTTCGCAGCCGAATAAAAGGCACTGTGACGCCGCATAGAAGCCCTGCCGCATAAACGGGTTCAAAGTCATTGATGCGGTGATTTTCCTTGCATAATAGTTGTGAACACGTTTATGCGGCTAGGCGCAATGCATAAAGCGAAAATTGCTTTTTATGCGGCGCAACAGTGCCTTTTTGCCAAAATAAAGACGTTGAAACCTGAGTTTATATATTTTCAAGCCAAACAAAAGTAAAGTATTAATATTTCAACAACTTTCGATAATAATTTATCCCTTAAACAGGGATTCCATTGTAGACTACCGTAGAACGGTTCTAATACATTAAAGTAAAATAATCTTATTTTATAATTTTCTTTCATTTACAAAATCGAGTTTACTGGTATGCCTAGATATGCCTCTAAAACTTGCGCGCCTGTTTCCGACAAATGCGGCGGCAAATTTTCACGATTTAGCGAAATCAATTTCACGACATAATAAAAATTTAGTACACAACCGAGCAAACTTGCGTGGCCTGTCATTAACAATTATCTCTTAAAAATGTTTAAAATGACGTTACGAATGATCATAAATGTCCGTCAGTCCAATAAATGGTAAAAAATATGTCATACGCCGATTCAATTTTGATTGATGCACATTTACATAACTTTAGCAGGAGATAAATGTTTTTTTTTTTTATCTTTATTTTATTTTTTAACGTCAAAAAAACACCCCGTCACTAATACAAAAAAGTCTTAAACATTTTAATTGTTTTTATGCGGTGACAGGGAACCTTTGTGTCGCATAAAAAGTATTTCTTTAATGCGGAGAAAATCACCGCATAAACAACTTTGAACCAGTTTATGCGGCAAGGCCGCAATGCGGCGGCACAAGGCACCGCAAGAAATAAAATACACGTTAATGTTATACAGTTAATAATGTGGTAAGGTACCATGATTACAAAGTCAAATCAAAAAAATAAACTCAAGTTTGTGCAAATCATTTTAATCCATATTTTCCAACAAGAACAAGTATATTGAAATCAAATAATGCTAATTGATACTGTAATGATTAAGTGAACAATAATATTCATAAACGACTAGTGTAACCGTAAAACTACATAAAACATGATATAGCATTAGAGTTTTAGTTATCATTTTAAGAATAGTAAATTATAAACTTAATGTAAATGTTATGACAAATATTATGTACAAATCTCCCATTTGTAATCAAAGAAATAGAACAAAAACTTTTGGAAAGCAAACTTTCAAATATAAACGAAGTACAATGACGAAAACAATTCTTAGTACTAATTGTGATATTTAAAAAAAAATGAAATCCAACGTTATATCAGTTTTAGCTTTCACCTATCTCATATATTTTAAAACATTATTATATGACCTACAAACGTTTACGGCCTTCCATACCATATATCTACAATTTCAAACCAACATATGGCATCAACGCAAAGGCGAAGGTGTAACCAGGCATTTGCCCAACGAGATTCTCTAATTATACGTCTTATTTTCGAGAATTAGGCCACTAAATCGTCCAAAATTCATAAGCAGTCTCCTGATTATAATACAGTATATTCTCGAATTCCATAAACGACAGCCAAACTGTTGACTGCTTACTGCGCGCTGCTTACACTATTGCTTACTGCAATGTATCAGCCAAAGGATTCCGACCGAGTTATCAACGATTTATTGCACAGACAAGCATAATTATTTAGGTTTTGGTATATTTAATGCTATAAGCAGTGAACAATGAGCAGTAAGCCGTAAGCAGTTGACAGTAGGCAATTGACAGTAAGCAGTTGACAGTAAGCAGTAGGCAGTTAACAGTAGGCAGTAGTTAGTCAGAAGTAGACAGTAAGCAGTCAACAGTTGGCTGTCGTTTATGGAATTCCATGTTATAGTCCATGCATTTATTAATTTATCAGTGAATTCTTTTAAATGTTGATCTAAGAATATATATGTACCTGTAAACTATTAAAGTAAATTAGGAGGCAATAAAAATACCAAGGGTCCAACCGGTTTTGAACCACAGACCTCTTTGTCCGTAGACGGACACCTCAACCACGTCGTTAAAGGGTTAATCAAACATCAAGGCTGATGGAAGTGGCCTATATACCTACAACCACTACACTCCTCCCCTCTTTACTTTTCAGAGCTAGCCAGCTCTCCTGAATGACACTCCCTGCTTACCGCATGAGTCCGTCAAACACTTCTGACACCATTAAAGTAAATTAGAATGCAGAAAAAATACCAAGGGTCCAACCGGGTTTTGAACAACAGACCTCTTGGTCCGTAGGCGGACACCTCAACCACATCGCTAAAGGGTTTACCCAACATCAAGGCTGTTGGAAGTGGCCTACATACCACTGCACTATATTGTGTTTGACCTCCAGAACGGCAACTATTTCGGCAACTGAATAATTTTTTGACCAAACATAGTTGTAATAGGTCGTCCATTTTTATTTTAATGCTATTAGCAGTGAATAATAAGTAGTAAGCCGTAAGCAGTTGACAGTAAGCAGTTGACAGTAAGCAGTAGGCAGTCAACATTTGGCAATTCCATAGTATATTGATTCATTAATGTTCCCAAAGAAATATTGAGATAGATATAAAAAGTTATGAAAGTATAACAATTCTGTCATAAACCTAAATCAATACACCGCATAGTTACGAATATCGATCAACATATCAATTGGATATTATTTAATACTTACATGCAGTAAAGCCTATTTAGTCAGATTATGAACATGTATAATAAAATTATAAAATATATATTAAGATATAGCCCACCCTTAGCATTAACAAGCGGTCTGGCTCAGTTATGTCAAATAATATAACAAATATACATGTATATCCAAACGTTTTTGTTGATGCATTTTGTGAGAAAGACATCCTCAAAGAGAAAGTTTGATCTCACACCTGGTCCGTGGTTGAGAACCAAATCCATCCCTTTTATCAAAAGCCGTTTCTATGGCCATACAAAGTTTTTTGCCATAGACCGCAAAATACAACTTTTGTTTGCTTACTAGGATATGTTTCATGTGTAAATGGTATAAACTTTAAATGTTTTAACACTTACTTTTTGTTTTAGTTCCATCTGTTACTTTCCTACCAAGTGCGACATTTAGCGTCAACGTTGCGACATTTAGCGGCAATCGATTTTTGTGCGACATATAGCGGCAACGTTGCGAACATTTAGCGGTATGCGATTGCGACATATAGCGTTGATTGCGACATATAGCGTCAGCGTTGCGACATTTAGCGTTAGTTGCGACATATAGCGTTGTTGCGACATATAGCGTTGCTACAGGTAGAGCTTTGGACTGTGAATCGGGCGACCCGGGTTCGATTTCCGGATGATGCAGGTCACTTTCATTGTGATTGATCACGAAGTTCTTTTTTACGGTCATTGGCATTGTACATCTGTTCTGGCATACACAGAAGATATCAGTTCCTTGTGAAAGTGAAGACACTAGTACTGGTAAACTGCTAGACAACATGCACAGGAAGTGTGCTCTGGTAAATTCAATCTGGCCTACTGTTGTTATCCGGACTGAAAACTGCCAACGCCACCACCACCATGTATATCATGAGTGGAAATGAAATATTTTCACACCCAAGTCAAATGAACTTCTTATTAACGATCTACGCAAAAAGAATATTTTATTCCAGACAGTTCAATCGGATAAATACTCTGCAACTCGCTGCATCCATCGGTTGTTCAAAATATTTCGCAAATACCAATGACATTATATTTTTTAGTCAATTGTATACAGATTTAGACTATATTTCCTTCGGAATTGCACTCGTTTCTCGAAATCTTTCTGAAAAAATAAAACGTGGAACGGTTTAAAGCTAGATTATACCATTAAATCAACGTACCTTCAAAATCTTTCAAACATCATAAGATGTTCAAAAAAATCCTATAAAAAATAAATGTATTATAGAATTATCCTTATATTCCATTACATATGCTTCACATAGCTTTTATCATTGACGTACTATATAAAGCTGAATTTGCAAACACACTACAAATATCACACACAGAAAAAAGGGAGATTGTATGAGTTCGGGATGTTTTTTCATCTTTGCATTTTTGAATGAGAGGAGAACAGGAAGTGAGGTCGATCTATTTAGGAAAATAATAGGCTTTTATTATACAATGTACATATTTCGTATTTTTTATTACAAAGTTAAAAAATTGGTTTAAATATATTGAATACCTCGACAGAAATTAAACTTTTTTACATTCACTTAAATGTAATATTTTTGTAACGACCCCGTCAAGAAAAAAGATTTCATGCCCTTCAAGACATACATTTAATTGCCCGACCAGATGCTGTGGTAGTAAAAATGATCCGATTATATCCTACATTTTACAACTCAGTTATCCAAATGCTGTAATCGTATGTGTTATAAAAAATGTCATAGCAATACTAACAGTACAGTTTTCATGCGGTTAATATACTAGGTAAATTATTTTGCCCTTTCCTTCAAACTTTCGAATGGTTATTGGCAATCGTACAAGTCTAGATCCTGACCACGATTGAATGAAAATCTACCACCAGAAAAATGAAAATCTACGTTACAAAAAAACGTGAAATTTCGCACGTATGTTTTTACGTTCGTTTATTATGTTTCATGAGAATCCACCACAGTGAGTATAAATGTCAGGCACGTCATCAGGAGAAATTTGGATGCCATAGTAACTTGAATTAAACTCGCGTACTTTTAAGTTAGTTATATAATAGGTGTCGACTTTATTCTAAATTAAAAAACACTTTCATATGCTGATATACGCTCCCTATTCACACCCGTTTCTTCACCATAAGAATGTGAGCGATAGTGAAACAATCGACCGATGCGCAGAAGATTAGTTCTGATAAAGCGCAATAATATTTATAGTAAAGGTGTCAAACAATTTAAAAGATTTTATTTGTCTGTATATCATGGAAGATGGCAATATTTAGTATTTCTATGCCTATACACACAAGCAGCAAAGGTCATCAGCCAATAGGCCAGCTAGAGTTCTTATCTTATAATGCTCAAGATACCATTTATATTATTGTGTATAAATATAGTTTGAAAGCTTATTTATCTAACTTACTGCACATGTAATAATTTCGGTGTTGGCTCATTGTTGGATTTATATATATTAAAACAAACCATGATTGTCAGTAAGTCGTTTAAAGATAAATTTTAATTTCGTTCCATCAGTGTCCTTCAATGTTCAGAAGACACGAAGGTCCATGTAAATGTTGGCCTTTTACTGTATTCGAGTGCTTGTTCTTGTTTGGATGCACAAATCGTACTAACTTTTTATACAAATGAATGGTAAATATTAAATAATGTACCTATAAATAATCAAATCATCAAAATTTTGTTGTCGATCGTTTTTATCATGAAACAGTCTAATATTTTTTATTTAAACCGGAACTAAGTAATGTTACATGTAAACCAGTATAGACTTTAATATAAACGGATAGTTCCAACTTTCTTCAATGTAAACTGCTGTAAACAATGAAAAAAATCAGCACGAGAACGTCTTGGCCAACACAGAACACGATAATGACATAATTTATTTGATCATTCATTTATTGTTTTTATTTATTTACCTGTCTTCATTTCTTTCCAGTTATAGTTCTTACAGTACTTTCACTCCTAGATGATTCAGGTAAGAAGAATATTTGTATTTGAAATTCAGAATTTTGTCGCGTAAACAATTACTTGTAGAATCCTCTATTGGACGCTAAAGGTGGCTAGTCCAGTTTCATTTCATTTCTTGATCTGTGCATTCGTCTTAATATATTCTGAAAATGTATTTAATTTTACATTATTTTTAAACTATTACTCTATACTTTGTTGACTCAATATAGGCACTAAACATAATGTAATAGAGCCCGTAGTCTCGAGATGTTGAACTTTTCATTTTCTTGCATGAGATACGTACTAACATGACCGTGTTCGCACACGATCAAAAAATCTTTTACGGAAAAATGCTCATAGAATTAATCAAAGTTGATTCGGTTTGTGTAAGAATTTCAATCTGGCAAAGTAAAAAGAAAAATCATTCAAATTGTAAGTTAATTTTTATTCGTTAATGCGGCTTTAACATGAGCTGCGGTCACATATCACATATAAGACTTATGCAGTTAAATTAAGTTTCTATTTGCAGTTGCACTCACGTGTTATGACTGTCAGAAGATTGACAACCAGAAATCGTGTAACGTGACAACCACGTTTTTTGCGTTGTTGGTAAAGCTGTTGATATAAAAACATAAACATGTATGTTCTAGCTGTTCTAAAATTCTACGTTTTCCCCCATCACAGTGACTATGCAACGCTGCGCTTCTTTTGTTATTGGTCGGTGGAGTAAAATTTTGCCGGGCTAGCTTTATGGTGTTTTTTATGAATTGCTAACAATTTTTTCGTGTTTTTTAAATTTATTTTGTAAATTTTGTTCGGAATTACTTACTTGGCACAACCATAAGATGCCTGTATTGAATTTGATTATTATTCTGATGTCTATGCAAGAGGAAACAATACCTAAAGAGGCTATATCGCCTTCCAAAACCTCGTTAAAGAGATTTTCGCTGACTACTGTTTGCTCCTCCTTTTTTCTCAATAAGTTTAACGCTATGGAATAATAACATACATGTATATATACATGGAGTTTCGTGTTTGCTGAGAATGGAAAATGTAGAAAAATATTTCTTTGAATCATTCATAAACATGCCTTAATATTTCATAAAGAATCTATGTGCTAGTAATTGATTAAAATCTGGCCGTCGTTGCAAAAAACAGATTCTGTTATAAAAATATATTGTTTACCCAGGCTTAACGCTTATTAACAAAGATATTGTTTAGACACGCTTAATAACAACGATATTGTTTAACAACGCTTTATTTTTTGTAACAGAGATATTGTTTAGTATCGCTTAATAACATTTTACAACTTTACTAATGAAAATGTATATATATATTTTGAAATAAAAAATCTTGACAAATGTTATTTTTAAATTAAGTTAATGATATTATGTACTTTACAGGCGTGCTACCAAAATTCTGTTTATAACAGTGCCTCAAAATCCGTTTCCATATCTTCGGGTTGTATCTCTAATACGGTAAGAATTTATATGGTTTATAATTTCAAATATATCGATGAAGTAACTGGAAATGTGGTCAATTAAAAATAAAATTAAAATACAAAAGTCATAGAAACTAAAAAAATAGTTTTCCTTTTTTTTGTTTTTTCCCTTTTTTTTTCAAAATAAAAAAAGGGAAAGGGTTTTTTTTTGGGCATGTACTCAAATTTTTTCCGGGAATTTTTAAAAATTTTTGAAAAATTTTTGAAAACTTAAATTACCCTCTCAATAAAAACGAGTGGGGGGCGGGGAGAAGTGGTTAACACTTCGGACTGTACTAGTAATGTGATTGCTGGTTTTAACCCCTCCAGGGACAAACGGTTGTCTCCATGGCTCTGCTGTTTGGTTCCAGCAACGGATTCATTCGAGAGTGGAAACTGTTTCAATAAGCTTATAGCTTCCAACACAATCGAACTAAAATAAATTAAAGTAAAAATAAACCTTGTTTGCATTTTTCGCCTTTTTACTTCTGTTTTCGTTACTCACGGCGGATATTCATTTTCAGATTGTTTCTATTAATGCGCGTATCGTTAGCTAACTGTGTACATGTATATAATTTCTTCATTCACCAATGCACTTTTTATGATAAGCATTTTGTAGACTTTAAAAAGTCGACACATAATGATGACGTCATCATTTTTGCATAGCGTTGACGTCGTCCCTTAGTAATATTGTAACGCCAAAACACTACAGCAATAGCTAGCTATGGAAGCAGAAGAAGAAAATCGTTCTTTACTTTCAAGATTTATTGCCTTTATTTGCTGCGCTTCACTGTGTAAGGGAGGTGACGAAGAAGATGATGACGACTTAGTTATAACTCGAGTTTATGAGTCGAAAAGTTTGACGGAATTGCATGCACGTAAGCTAACAGATAACTCACCAAAAGCTGTTCAAAGTTCTACAACTGCAGCGGAAGTGGAGAAAGCTGCATGTAAGGAAAAGAAAAACAAGCGGCGCTTCTGGCACTTTGGAAAATGGGGAAAAAAGGATCAGGAAGAACAGGAAAATCCACGTCAAGAGGAAATTGGTGAAATAGAGTACGACATGGCTGACGGAGAGAGCTTACCGGAAGAGGATTCAGACGACGATACACCAGGGTTAGTTATGATGGACGGGGATGCCGGAAACGTTGCCATGGATAATCTTATAGTGCAGTACCTTGTAATTAATTGATTTCAAAGAGTATTACTTAAACATTTTTTTCGGACACTTCTTAATTATTCTATTTCCTATACAAACTTTCATGTTTTTAATAACCTTTTTTCTTTGTCGATATCAACTTTTTTTCAAAGTATAAAAGTGAACACTGTTTATACATGCTTTTCAACTACAGACAAACAATGTGCGATCTTTGTACGAGCTTCACAATAATTCATAACATCATTTTTGCCGTCTTAATGCTAAACGTCTACCTCAACTACCACTGGAATATCCATAGGAACTTATATGAGGGCAATATTTTTCGCATTTGCTGAAATTTACAACGGAAAATCTTTACCATATGCTGAAAATAATTGGAGAGAGTAATTTCATTAATCGCAAAAATACCATGAATCTATCATTTTGATTTTGTCACGGGTACATAGTTTTTATCGAGTGCTGAAAATAACAGGGTGATGTCATTTTATCGTTTGTTGGAAAAAAAATACGAGGACATCATTGGTATCCATTGCTGAAATAACACAAGGCCATCATAATTACCATGTGCTGAAAACTTCTGGAGGACATAATGTTATCGTGTTTTGAAAATAACATTAGGACATCTATCTTCTCGTGTGATAAAAATAATACTAGGACACCATATTAACACGGGGACACCATATCAACAATGTGCTGAAAATAACACGAGGACATAATTCTATCGTGTGCTGAAAATAAGACGGGGACATCATTTGTATCATGTGCAGAAAATAATACGACGGCATAATTTTATCGTGTGCTGAAAATAATAAGGGGACATCTTTTATTTGTGTGCTGTAAATAACACAGAGACATAATTTTATCGCGTGATGAAAATAACATAAGGACTTCACTTTTTTCGTGTGATGAAAATAACACGAGGCCATCATTTTTATCGTGTGCTGAAAATAACACGAGGACATCATTTTTATCGTGTGATGAAAAAAACACGAGGACATCATTTTTATCGTGTGATGAAAGTAACACGATGACATCATTTTTATCGTGTGATGAAAGTAACACGAGGACATCATTTTTTTTCGTGTGATGAAAATAACACGATGACATCATTTTTATCGTGTGATGAAAATAACACGAGGACATCATTTTTATCGTCTGCTGAAAATAACACGAGGACATCATTTTTATCGTGTGCTGAAAATAACACGAGGACATCATTTTTATCGTGTGATGAAAATAACACGAGGACATCATTTTTATCGTGTGATGAAAGTAACACGAGGACATCATTTTTTTTCGTGTGATGAAAATAACACGAGGACATCATTTTTATCGTGTGATGAAAGTAACACGATGACATCATTTTTATCGTGTGATGAAAGTAACACGAGGACATCATTTTTATCGTGTGCTGAAATAACACGAGGACATCATTTTTATCGTGTGCTGAAATAACACAAGGACATCATTTTATCGAGTGCTAAAATAACACGAGAACATCAATTGATCGTGTGCTGAAATAACACGAGGATATCATTTTTATCGTGTGCTGAAATAACACGAGGACATCATTTTTATCGTCTGCTGAAAATTACACGTGGACATCATTTTTATCGTGTGCTGAAAATTACACGAGGACATCATTTTTATCGTGTGCTGAAAATAACATGAGGACATCGTTTTTATCTTGTGCTGAAAATTACCCGAGAACATCATTTTTTCGTGTGCTGAAATAACAAGAGGACATCATTTTATCGTGTGCTGACAATAGCACGAGGACATCATTTTACCGTGTGCTGAAATAACAAGAGGACATAATTTTATTGTGTGTTCAAAATAACACAAGGACATCATTTAATCATGTACTGAACATAACACGAATATCATTTTTATCGAGTGTTGAAAATAACAAAGAAGAGGACGACAGTCCATAGAGTAAGACTGTTAAAAAGATACATGGGATAAGGAAAACTTCAACAAAAAAAGATTCAGAAACATTTTAATAAATGACAAATGAAAGCAAATGAGATAGAAGACGTGAAAAGTACAGAGACTAAAAACAACATATGTACAAAATCTGAGATATTCTCATAAAACTTATATCAAAACAGAAGTGAGACAGATTTGTACCAAAATATCAAAAACAGATATATCTTTGACAATTTTAGTAAAGATCATTTTCTAATTTAACCTCAAATTGATTTTAGACAAAATAAAATCTTAGTCAGCTTAATTCTCATTCATCTTTATTATTATTTCATAAAAAGATATTCTCACCTATTTTCGTATGCGTGTAGGAATACCAGGGTTTGATCCATACTTTTGTTAAGTTTTAATACTATTTATTTGAGCAAAAAAATCGAGAGTGGCGTACAATACATGTATACATACGATAGTTTTTATTATTCACATACCGTATGTAATAAGAAAGCGTGTTTCATAGAAATGTAATCGTCGAAAAAAGAACAGTAACAACCCTTTAATACACACACCTACACACCTCCTTCGCAACGAGAGAAAAAACAACAAAAAAAAAACAACAAAAAAAAAGCAACAAAAAACAGCAACAAACTGTGTATATATCCAAATTTCTGAAGAATACACCCCCTCACACCTCCTTCGCAAAAGGAGGGAAAAACAACAACAACAACAGAACAAAAGTTATAATGTGCAGATTTCCAAATTTCTTGTCAATAATAGAGTTACAATGGATATATTTGCAAATATAAGGTCGTTATTTTGGTTCTGCTTTTATACTAGCAATGTACAGAGACGTCATTTGGTTCTGGTGCAGTGGTCGGTCGGGGTTTATTAAATAAGAGACAAGATACGGGATGTCATAAATGTTGCGTCACAGATCTCTGTAATAATAACCTGTGTAGCCACCAGACCAGTAAGATTAATTTATCTCTGTTCTGTAATTTGCTTTGATTCAAGCTGTAAGATAGAAAAGTATCTAGTTGAACATATTTAACAAAGTCTAATCACCGCGATCTAGATCTTTGTCGACCATATCTTCCACTTTCAATCCGTAATTTGTGAGCGCATTTACGAAATTTTGTGATGAGCTGCCGTTTATTTCCAATCATACTTAAGTAATTTTCATATTTAAAGTCTAATTTCATACATGTATGTTTGTAAACCAAAAGTACGATGTTTCCTTCTACCTTTGTATGTGATTTCTTTATTTGTGTATAAAAGTCTCAAATAGATCTGCGTTTAATATTCAATGGATCATCCTATCTATATCCATCCGAAACCATTCAGTTAAAAATATCCTTTACAACAGAAAACCAGTTTGACTTCCCGCCTTAACAATTACATAATAACAATAAAAAGAAATTTCGAAACGGTACAATGTATGATTTTAAACCAGAATTTTATCATTTTCACAAACCTACTACATTGTACATTAACAAAGTATTCTACAGGAAAATTAAAAATACATTTTGATAGAATTGATTGAACAAATATCTATTTTTCTATACATAATCAATCAGCTAATGGCAAGGAATGCATTGACGATAAAACAGTGGACTGTCGTAAAATGGACGCCACACTTGGAATATGCCGGGATAAAGAGCACGCAAATATCCTGTGTCCAAAATTCTGTGGATTATGCGATAAAGGTAACTTATTTGACTGGCAATCGTAACTTCACGGCAACTTCCGTCGTCAAACTTCGGATTAATAGCCGACATGTTCCGATTGATTTGACACATAACGAGCATGAAATATTATTCGATGTCTTTATGTCCATAACATTTTTGTGTATATACATTTCGTTAGAAAGACCAAGGAACTAAATGAGGTGGTATTTTGGAAGACATTGTCCAGCGATAAAGAAATAACCATGCATTTTTTCATGGCATAAACAAGATTTACATAACAAAATTGCATAAACAAGTTTACAAAACAAAATGGCATAAACAAGTTTTACATAACAAAATGGCATAAACAAGTTTTTCATAACAAAATGGCATAAACGAGTTTCACATGTAAATGGCAAATACGAGTTTTACATAACAAAGTGGCATACTCTAGGTTTACATAACAAAATGACATAAACGATTTTCAATAACAAAATGGCAAATACGAGTTTTACATAACAAAGTTGCAAACTCAAGTTTAATTTAACATAACCAAATGGCATATACGAGTTTCAGTAACAAAATGTCATATACGACGTTTACATAGCAAAGTGGCATATACGACTTTTACATTACAAAATGGCAAATACAAGTTTTACATGACAGAATTATACGAGTTTTACATAATAGAATGGCATATGACAGTTTTACATTACAAAATGCCTAAAGAACCACGAAAATATTACACAAATAGTAACAAAGATAATAATTGTGTTTTTTGTATTGTGGAAGACTTTTTTTGTAATCTGTAGGCCTATATATTAGAACATGTTGTCAGAAACCTAAAATAACAATAAAAATGTCATACGTCACAACCACAGGCACGAGTATCGGACCTGGGAAGAAAAAATATGACTAGATTGATAAAAAAAACCTGTGTTCATCTTAAAAGTGTCAAAAAAAAATGTAAATAATGACCCCCTTTAAAAATATACTATAAGTTAAGAGAAGGCCGGAAACTCTAGATTCGAGCCTACGAGCAAGGGATTCATTTCCCGGGCCGTTGTGAAAACAATTGGCCAGACAATTAAAAAAAACTTTTATCACTATTTCACGTTTATATTAAGCTTCAAAATGAGACCAACCCCAAGTCTCTAGCCCTTCCCGTTCATGAAATATCTATCAGGAAACGAGCGACTTCGTGCTAAAAATCCTTTGTAGACAGAATTGCAGCACAACAATTCGGTACGTAAACATAGACTAATACATGTATGTCAGCTGACTACGGGTCAAAATTACTTGAATTTATTAAATAATATTAATAAATACATTAAGTTGGACCACTCACAACCGCCAGTAGCATCTAATACACACGAGATTCGAGTTTCAAACATTTACACGGTCTTTCAATCGCTTTCTTCGCCATTAGGCATCTTGTGTGAAACGTTGCGGTTTTCGTTGCTATTGGCCAATCAGAAGACTCGTTACAAAATATCGAACAGCTGATTGACAATGGCGTAGAAAGTAATCTAAAGACCGTGGAAAGGTTTGAAATTGAAATTTGCGTGTATCAGATGCTACTGGCGGTTGTGAGTGGTCCAACTTAATGTATTTAGTAATATTATTTAGTAAATTCAAGTGATTTTGACCCATACTCAGCTGACATACATGTATTAGTCTATGTTTACGTATCGAATTGCTGTGCCGCAATTCTGTCTACTAAGGATTTTTAGCACGAATTCGCTTGTTCCCTGATAGATATTTCATGAACGGGAAGGGCTAGAGACTTGGGTTGGTCTCATTTTGAAGCTTAATATAAACGTGAAATAGTGATAAAAGTTTTTTTTTAATTGTCTGGCCAATTAGTTTCACAACGGCCCGAGAAATGAATCCCTTGCTCGTAGGCTCGAATCTGGAGTTTCCAGCCTTCTCTTAACTTAATTATAGTATATTTTTTAAAGGGGTCATTATTTACATTTTTTTGTATTTTTTTTGACACTTTTAAGATAAACACAGGTTTTTTTATCAATCTAGTCATATTTTTTCTTCCCAGGTCCGATACTCGTTCCTGTGGTCACAACTAATATTTTTTTTTAATTTGAGGGGTTTCATGGGTTTGAAGTAAAAAGTAAGAAGATTTACTTATTATATTTGTTTTAACAGAATTGTTAATTTTTGTTAGTGGATGGAGAATGGACGGAGTGGTCAGTATGGAGCACTTGCTCTGTAAGTTGTGGTATCGGCATACAGAGACGGCAGCGAAATTGCTCGAACCCGTCACCAGATACACGTGGAAATTATTGTGTAGGCTTGAACCTTAATGACCGACTATGTAAGCCGGGTGCTTGTTTTGGTATGTATTACTAATAATATGGTGTGAACACACGATGAATTGTTGTCAATCCCTTCACCCCTAAATTTGTATTTCATTGTCTAAAATCTGAAACAGTTCATTGCTAATGTATGTGGTGGTTTCCATAGAAGCTGCAGAGCGAACAGTTTCACCACCAACTATGGTCATGTAGTCCAACTACATGTATAATAACAGATTTTTCTTGACGTGTTAAAATGTAAATAGATCTTGATTTTAAATGATGTGTGTTATACATATAGCACGGTATGGGGTTTAGATACGCAGTAATATAATCATGAATGCCGAATGCCTGCGTGATAAATACAAACAAAGATCCCTCAAAATCAAGATGTATTTCCATTCTAACACGTCAAAAAAAATAAAAAAATAAATAAAATAAATAAACAAAAAAAGCCTGCTGAACCGGGTGATGCTCCCCAAATAGGTTTTGTACACAGAAAAGTAAACCTCTAGTGTCATTTAAAATGAACAAAGGGCAGTAACTCCAAAAAAGGAAAGGTAGAGTTAAGGTTCTTTTGTACTTCCTAATGAAATATATCTACCTGCAAAGTGTCTTGTTCATATCTAGTGTAAAAATGAACAAAAGAAATAACTCCAAAATTAAGCAAGACAGAATTACGGTCCTTTCTTACACTGCACTTCTACCCAATGAGATCTATCTACCAACAAAGTTCCATGTTGATACCTCTTGTTGTTTCAGATTTATGTCCCGGACAAGAATAGGGGACGGACAGACGGACAAAGCGGTGACTTTATGCTCACCCTTCGGAGAGCATAATTAAATGAACATGTAACAAGGGGGAGAATCACGCCGTTTGTTACCCAAACAAACAAGATGGCGGATGCAGCCAAAAAGTAGGATTTTCCCTTTTTTCTCTAAAATTCGTGATGTTCTAATGTAAAGGTACATATAACAACCTTCTTCACAATTTTCCTGGCACACAGGATTTTATTTCATGATGTTTCGTTGCGTACTTCATCTGAAATGCGCGTCACCAGATTCGAAGCGAGAAATTTTTCCATCGGTTTGATCGTGGTAACGTACGGCTTTTTCTCTTAAATTCACTGTTTCTTTTACATATATGTATATTAACTGAAACAACTGACAGAAAATTGGAATATGTTGTCAAGTAAGCAATCATGCCCATTCTGGCTAGATTTACTGCTGTAAATATTAATATCGGGGCATTTTCTGGAAATGATAACGTATGGCGCACAAAATATCAATGATAACGTACGGCGCAGTTTACTACTTGGTGGATTTCCATTTGTTCAATCAGCTGATAATGAATTATTTTTATGTAGGAAATGATAGATATCTGAAAAATGTTGGTCATAATTGAACAATGATGTACCATCGAATATAAATATATTTCTAGCTGGTGCCATAATAAAATCCGTTGTTAATATACCAATTAGAACACACGTGTATAGTTTGAGAATAATTGTATAAAATGCAAAATTGAAAAAAAGCCTCCTCGTTCAGAAAACATTTGTATAATGTTGTCTTCACATTAAATTTCGCCGGTGTTGTGCGATAATTATGGTCTTATCCCCTTAACGCATTCAGCATAAAAAAATGTTAAAAAGGTACGGACGGCTTGATATATTTTCTTTTCCAAAGAAAAAGTCTAAATTCATTCCTAACACATTTCTGATAAGGAAATCTTAATATTTGAACCTGTCAAACATTTACAAAACGAAAATTGATTGCGACTAGCTTACACCCGGATGAGATGAGCCTGTGTTTATTCAATCTGGTCGCTCATTGAAAGAAAAATGCATAACAGAGAATAATGAACGAGTGTAGGTTCTATATTGAATTTATTGAATGAGTTAGAAAATAATGTTATGCGAAAATCTTCAATGAATTTAGTAAATAAGAAATTTTCTGTTTATCTGACGGGCGGTTAATATTGAAACGCTACCATTTTGCTCGACGTTGTGCCACTATGACGTCAGATATATTTATGCGACATAGTCTTACAGCTTTTTTTTATTATAGTAGACAGTAGACATTTTTTTATTCCAGTAGGCTTTAAATATGACGAGGACATAAAACACGCACAATAACGCACAGTTCATATAAACATAATATTAAAAATCATGAATAAATATGAAGAAGATCAATTTTGATTGATAAAGTAAATACCAGCCGAAATTTTCTTAAGTAGTAACATAATGAACATTTTCATATCAAAATTGATCTTTAAACCACTAACTTATAGGTATCTTGTATATACATCTACATACACACATATACATGTACATTCTTACAAAAAACATATATTATATACATGAACCATTATTCTTGCATAGCAGACTGGCGTTTCCGTGAGTTTTACCCATGCCGGAAATTTCATCTGGCATGTGGGTGCCAGATGAGTCGCGTGCCAAACAACAACGTCATTTTAGCGCACTTTATGAATGAACCACGTTAAAATGACGTCGTTTTAGAAGGGACATATGTGCTTAGGATGACGTCATTTCGCCGTTGTTATTTAAGTTGTAAGTTCATACGCTACTGTAAGAAAATAGTTATGGATGAAATGACTTTAATTTCCATGAACATATATCATATTGAGGTAAACCATTTTAGATATGAAATAATATGGCAGAATATGCAAGAAAAAATATCTGACATATGTCTGTGGTTCGGATCGGAATATCCGTCCCTCGGGAACCCGCCCATGAGCGGTAACTCGGCAAGCCTCGTAACCCCCCAATGGGCGGGTCCCCTCGGGACGGATATTCCGGTCCGAATCGCAACATATGACAGATATAATTATTCCACAAATTTTTCTTAACAAAAACAATAATTTCTATAAAAAAAAGTATTGCAGGTATCAGCAATAAAAGAGTGACATTGGAATGTGCTTATTAATTTCTAGTATTAAATTCGGATTTGGATTTCAATGTTTTTGTCCATGCCGGAAAATCCCGCCTGAAACCTTTAATGTCAGACCGCTCATGCGCTTATATGACGTCATTATCTTTATTAAAGAACGGTTTTAAAAATTATTGCGCTACTCTTCAACTAGTGTTTACGAAGTATATGTTAGTGTTCATCCGTGTTGTTCTTCAGCAATTAGAAACTTCGACTGGACTGATAGCGACCGGAGAATATTTCTTATTTCTGCAGAACAGCTACGGATGAATACAAACATACTTAGTGTCAAGCTTTATTTGGCTTCATTAATATTAACTTTATTTCGTCACTTTACCTGTCCATTTGCACAAACGCGGTTCTATGAAGCACTATGAAAAATAGAAGGCTGCTATGAACGGACTCTGATATATCATCGACTTTTGTTCTTCTATGAAAAGTTACACAAAGAAGTTTTAAGAAATTTCATTGGATTATAAATAAAGCTGGACACTAATATTATTTATTTCAGTTTCATAATTTGGTTCTACACACCCTCTTATGTCTTGTAAACATAACTTTTCTATTAAATAGGAAATCAATTAATCAGAAAAAAATGCGCCGTACGTTATCATTGATATTTTGTGCGCCATACGATATCATTTCCAGAAAATGCCCCGACATTAATATTTACAGCAGTAAATCTAGCCAGAATGGGCATGGTTGCTTACTTGACAACATATTACAACTTTTTAAAGTAAGTGGTTTCAGTTAATATACATATATGTAAACGAAACAGTGAATTTTAGAGAAAAAGCCGTACGTTACCACGATCAAGCCGGTGGAAAATTCTCTCGCTTCGAATCTGGTGACGCGCATTTCAGATGAAGTACGAGACGAAACATCATGAAATAAAATCCTGTGTACCAGGAAAATTGTGGAGAAGGTTGTTATATGTACTTTTACATTAGAACATCACGAATTTCAGAGAAAAAAGGGGAAAACCTACTTTTTGGCTGCATCCGCCATCTGGTTTGTTTGGGTAACGAACGGCGTGATTCTCCCCCGTGATGTAAATGGACTACATTTTTGGTGGTGAAATTTGTTTTCCGCTTATTTCGCCTCGGAGTTTCTTATATCACGCGATGTATGTTGCTATATTGTGACGTCACGTTACACTTCAAACGTCTACATATAGTGTTACTCACTCAATTAAAGATATTGGTGTCCGTATTTATTTTCTTCATCTCTGTCATCTTTCATTGATTACAGAGCAAAATGTATCTAATTATCAGATTTTTAAAACAAAATGGCGCCGTCAATATGTCGATTTGTAAATACGGAGGGAGGAAATAAGATCGGTAAGTGTATCTGTTGTAAAATACATGTATATCGCGCTTCCGGTCTCTTTTGTTTATATATGGGAAATCTTCGATAGTGTTACAATGAAACGTAAATATTAAGACGTGAATGATTTATTGACGTATTTTAGATGGCGGATGGAGTCACTGGGGTGCCTGGACAAGTTGCAGTGTCACTTGCGGAGCTGGTTTCCATTCAAGGTCTAGAAACTGCTCGGACCCTAGACCCTCACCTTTCGGCCGGTATTGTAACGGAGAACCGATGCAAGTGTCTCCTTGTCAACACATCGATTGTGAAGGTAACTGATAATGCCGTTGATTTCATATAAAACAACATGAATAGTTATTAATAGTTTTCAAATATAAATGGATATTTAACAGTGTGGCAATACCACGTGACATTGACGTCATTTTCGGCATCATTTCCAAGACAAATGTTGCTCGATTCGGAAAAGAAAATAGCCGTAAATATTTTAAAGAGTTTTGCCTTCCGTACTCCCGGTTGATGTAAACCTGACTTTAATCATGACGTAGACCAGATAACGCCAGAAAACGAAATAGCTTGCAAGTGAAGCCCGCCATCATATAAGCAATTTAACTTCCAAGGTTATGCAAAGTGTTTGATAAAACGGCTTATAAACTGTCGAAGATCCAATATTCTGTGGAAAGCTTATATTTTTCCCCAAAGAAATTGGTACAGAAATAAAATATTTACGGCTATTTTCTTTTCCGAATCGAGCAACAGGTGCCGAAAATGACGTCAATGTCATGTGTTATTGCCACATTGTTTAATATGTAAAACAGAGTTTAAATACGCAAGAATAAACTGACATTTAACACAGTTCAACTTCATGTGCTCTAAAGAAAGGTTCAGTAACCAAAAAATAACGAAAAGAAAAATGTGTTGTACGTATTGTATCTATATATGGAAAATGGCATTTTATTGCTTTCAAAATTAGAAAGTTTATTCCATTGTATTTATTTATTAAAGATGTTTTAGACGAAAAGTGAGGAATCATTAAGAGCGATTATATCTGGGATGTTTTCACATGGTGTATTCTATTTCATTTTAGTTTCTGGAGGGAAAAACGCTAACGTCATGTTCCGCAGTAGAGGTTTTACAACGATGGGTTACAAAGTAGACAATGGTACAGTTTTTGTATACACGACGACAACGATAAATGAGGGTCATGGCTATAACAATACTTCCGGAATATTTACTGCGCCGATAGGTGGATTTTATTCATTCTCCGTTCAAATCTGTTCCCCTACAAGTCACCGCGGAGCATATGGAATATTTGTAAATGGCGTGAATATTAAACCAAGTTACTACGGGAACAATGGGATAATTTTGAGTCACACGACAGATGCGGTGGCTATTCTGAAAAAGGGGGATAGAGTTTGGACACAATGTATAGTAAGGACATGTTATTTGCGTGGAGATGGTGATGTGTATTGGAACACGTTCTCTGGGTATTTAATACATCAATAAATATAACTGTCAATGTTCTCTAACTTTACCCAAATACGCCTTTGGCCTCAAGCTAAAAAGACAGTCTTCAGCCCAATAAAAAGGCCATTATGGAAACACTTAATTGTTGACAATTTTATTAATTAACTAAACATAATAAAAAAAAATGTTAAGTACTCAGTGAACAAAAAATAAGTTATTTAAAATTTCATTGTTGTGAGGTATTGCAAATGAGATTCTTGTCTTAATGTCTCGGAAACCTACCTTGCAGCAATTCAAAATGGCGACTTTTCAATAGGCAAAAAATAGAAAACAAGCAGATTCATAATGTCCGCGAGCTGGAGAGTCAATCATAATTCTCCAATCTCATAAAAGCTGGGTTTTCTCATAAAGGCCGTACTTTTTGAACCATAGCCTTAATTGTTTGTGTTCATACTGTCGTAGTGAACTTCATATATTAGCCTTACATTTGATTTGAAAATGTGCCTGATATTGAAAAGTTAATTAATAGCATATAACAAGTTTAAAGAAAGCAGACAAGAATGACATTACCACTTGGAAGTATTAGGTAAAGTTAAAATTCAAGTGACATTCTCGATCAAAGATTTTACAAGTAATGCATTAAATATATAGCTTATCACGCCACAATTAATAGGAAATTCAGTAGAATACACAGTATGAAAACACTTTGAAGTTTTAAAAATTATATTGCACGACTAATGTGACAAGATTTTTGGGCTTTGTACTATAAACATATAAGGTAAATCAATAACCCCTGGACTGCGTTCAAAAAATCATTTATGTTCATTTTTTATGACAGCCACACTTTATCCTTGCATATCGTGGCTACTTCCTTAAAAAGACACTTAAAAATGGTTGCCTCTACTTGGATTTGAACTCCGGACCTCTCACACCCTAAACGAGCGCGTTACCCCTGCACCAGGGGAAGTTGTAAAGCTTGAAAGCTTGAATAAAATCAAATAATTCTAAATAAAATTTCCATATCGGGTTTGTAATCCTTATTTATTTCGAGGTATTTTGTTCACGATAAACCTGTTGTTTAACAATGATGTAAAAAATTTAGCGAAAATCTTCTCTCCAAAACAGTCTGACACGTATATATTCCACTACCCGACAGTCAAATTTATTTGAGTACTACGCTCTGAAGTATTCGGTAATCGACATCGCTAAAAATAGCATTTTCATTGATAAGATGATATTCATCCGCGTAATTTGTGATTGAGCATTTATTGCCAACGCTACTTTTAAACTTTGAATGCGTTGTAATTCGTCGGATACTTGTAACAAAATAAATATATTTCTTTCTTTTACATCGCTAATTTTAAGCTGTTTTGAGAACTACATGTACTTGTTGTTAGTTTTGTCGTGAAATCTCTGTGTCAGAGATTGAATGTTAGCATTGTATTTCCTGATCTGCGATCAGAAAATACAAAAATGATTCATGCTAAATATCTGACCTTTTGCCCTGGTAATTTTTAAAGAAAACGATTTTTCTACATTTAAAGAAAACATCTTTCCCCCAGGACGGGACCAATTTTGTAGCCGCAGGGCTATAATGTAAAGGTCATATGGTGACGTTCACCCTAACTGGTGGAGGAAGACAGGTGCTCTTCCGTGCATTATTCCCTGCGGTCTGGAGACCGCAGGGTATTGGTACGCGTTAAACTTTTGAGGCATGGAGGAGCACGTGACCTGTTTTCGGTACATGGAGGAGCATGTGATCTGTAAACCGTACATGATTGGTTAATTGACCTCTTCGAAAACCTTGCTAAATACCGTTTGCCGGTACGTTACGGATTTTCCTCCGAATTACACCTAATTAAGAACAAAAAACAATTACGTGATATTTCTAATTTTCTACAATTATTTTACCGATTCAGGTGGAAAAACTTGAATGATGTGCTTGAAAATTATCAATGTTTCTTTAAAATCTATCTCAAATTTTACAATCAAAAACTTGTTTATACTGAAAATCTACAAAATTAAAATATTCGTTCTGGCATCTGCCATAATAAATAAAAATATTTTCTGCGTAAACTTGTGTTTTTACTTTATTCTTTTTTTGCTCGGAATTATTCATATAATGGTAGGCCTATTTAATCATTTTCCTAAAACAATTGTTTTATGTTCGACCTTCTCCGGTCTTCAACGGTCACCAGTTTCCAAAGACCTTCTTATTGTCAACTATATTCCTGATACAAACGTTTATTTATCCCCCCACACACAAACAATGTTGAAAATAGTTCAATGAAATCTCTTTATATATCATTAAAAATGTTTCCCGCAGGAAACCATTTTACTTGTTACAGACTCGAATAGGCACTTAAGTAGAACCTATGACGCTCCGTAAGCTAGCTTGAAAGCTTCAAAGGCATGTTTCATTAAGGCATTTATGTAAAGTAAAGTACACGTTGATTAAGACAATAATGAAACATTAAGTACAGTTTGAATAAGGTAATGATGTAATATAACGAACATGTTTGAGTAAGACAAAAATGAAAAATAGAGCACGCAACAGAATTTGACCAGACATAAAAGTAACACTTGCATGTATAAGAACATGACTACATGGGTATATACAGAAGTTAAAAAAAAAACCATAAAAATCTGTTGAAAAATTAATGAAGTGAAAATGTGCACCATTATCTGAAAATATTGAAATATAAAAAAGATATAGTTCAGGTCTAGTGCGCAGCATGTGTATAACGGTGGGAACTTTAGTTCAGGTCTAGTGCGCGGTGGGAACTTTAGTGTTTTTTTTTGGAGGGGGGTTGGGTTAATTCACATCGGCACAGTATAGGTCATATCGCGACGGCTGTGACTAAAAAAAGGATTGGAGCACCACACTAAATACCGTATTCCGGTATATACCGGACAAGGCGCTCGAATGATAAAATGCTAAAATCTTGTCTTTTTACCCAACGGAATGAACTTTAACAGGTCCAATTCATCTTTTCACACCGAATCAAGTACGATAATCAAGGAAAAATGTAAAATTCGGCGAAAAAAACGATATTTGTCTATTTTGTGATCATGATAATAATTAGATTGATTTCTGCAAGCGTCTAGAGGTACTGCTCCAATCCTGTATTGAGCTAAATCCTATCGCGACGTTCCAGCTTTACTGGCGGAGGAAGACCTGTGCTCAACTGTATTTACAATCGCAACTACTCGGCCCTTTCCGTCAGTCTTCGGATAAGGACCTCGAACACAATAGTATGAATACACAGAACGGATGCGGTATTCCGATCTAACCTACGCTAAGAAACTAAACATGTAAACAAATAGTAATTTAATGCTGGGAGTTGTTGACACGTTTATTTCCAATATATGTAGTAAAAGTCCACCTGAAATAAGTGAATTCATATGTACAAAAGCAAACAATACATTATTTATATATTTACTAATATGGCTGTGAAACCAAAAGTACAAAAAACCAACCTGTTGACATTTGGTCGGATTTATTTAAAATTGAACATCAGAGGGCATATTTAAATAACAAATTGTTGTCGGACATATTTTCAAGCATAAGAGTACCGGAACAGACATGAGATGTCAAATATATACATTCGTTTTACATTATCTCTGTTTCTGTTTACATCAGTAAACCCCGTGGTAGAACTACTTTCAATCCGTATTGTTTCCGAGGTTAATGTTGTAGATAATAGCCGAGGCAGTTCCGAATGCTGTATTTATACTTTCAAAAATAATATATAACGAAAAACAATTTACATTTACCACACGACATGAAAGCACAAAATACCCAAATACACCCAAATATTGCCAAATTATACTAAAAATAAATGTTTGATACTAAAAAAGTGCTGTTTAAATCATGAATACAATATACACTTTCACTAAGATATAATCAAACATACCCAAATATATATATAGGGTCTCCCTAATTACAAAACCGTCAAGAACCGACAATAGTCTACATATTGCAAATAAACACGTACAAATGTGTTTTTATGATTGTTAAACATGTAGGGCATATATGTTTTTCATATGTGATAAGTTTTTGATAAAGTTTTTCTTGTTTTTTTTTTCATAGAAAAATAAATATATGCGTACCGACAAGAAAAACTCAAATGCAATGCGTACTGTTAATTACTGTATCGTTGACACCGACAAAAATGATTTGTTATTTACATAATATTATCAGTTGCAAAATTTGTGTTTAAACTATCTTATGAACATGTTTCAACATTATATTTGTAGTCATAAGTCAGTTTTTCATGACATTACATGGATGTATATGCAACCAACAAGAAGCAAGAGGGCCATGATGGCCCTGAAGTCGCTCACCTGTATATAGGCCCCCGGTGCGGGCCAGTTTAAACCCCAGGGCTTTTATTTGAACAAACTTTGTAGACACCCATAAGAAGATGTTTCATGCTAAACATCTAAGGTCTAGCTCGTTGGGTTTTTTAAAAGAAGATTTTTTTTTAAGTTTTTCTTTTACACATATAGTTAAAAACATTGACACACCTGGGGCAGGGCCAGTTTTGTCCCAAGGACTTTTATTTGAACAATCTTTGTAGACACTAACTAGAAAATGTTTCATGCTTAATATCTAAACTCTAGCTATTCGGGTTTATCAAAGAAGATTTTTAAGATTTATACACATATAAGGAAAATCAATTTGTCCCCCGGGGCGGGGCCAATTTTGACCCTAGGGCTTTTATTTGAACAAACTTTGTAGACACTCACTAGAAGATGTTTCGTGCTTAATATCTTAACTCTAGCTATTTCAGTTTTTTCAAAGAAGATTTTTTAAGTTTTTGCTGTATACATAAAAGGAAAATGAATGACCCCCGGGGCGGGGCCAATTTTGACCCCTGGGCTTTTATTTGAACAAACTTTGTAGACACTCACTAGAAGATGTTTCCTGCTTAGTATCTAAACTCTAGTTATTTGGTTTTTTTCCAAAGAAGATTTTTTTAAGCTTTCGCTATTCACATATAAGGAAAATCAATGACCCCCAGGGCGGGGCCAATTTTGACCCAATGCCTATTTTTTTAACAAACTTGGTAGCCATCCATTAGAACATGTTTCATGCTAAATATCGTAGCTCTAGCTCTTTGGGTTCT